CAGTGTCTTCCCAGGCTTCAGTACTCACCCATTGGCTCTAAACTGTTTGAGGCTCCTATTTTGTGCCCAAAAAGAACAATTTCTGAATGTCTATATGCTCAAAAATAATTAAATCATATTTTCTTATTCTCAGAAAATAATTTTATTATAAATATACATATAAAAATAACAAGTGCCACAGAAAAATGTAATACATTTCGTGTTAACACATGAATAGCTAAAGCATCAAAACATTTCAAAAGGATAGATATCATTACGTTGTGAGAACTGAATGTGCATTTACATAACTTCTAAAACATCCCCAGTACAAGTTCTAAAAAAACATGCTTGTTCTTTTTAAAACAGCTTTACAAAAAATTGTTTCAAAACCATTTTACTGAAAAAGAGTTCAAGACCAAGCTCTGTGAGATTCCCAGTGAAAACAACGGTTCATTAACAAGCAGATAGTGACATTACAGAAAGTCATGCAGAGGCTATATTCTCCTTTTGAAAATGAAAGACTCCTGGAAATTAGATGCAATTCGTCTGTAATTAAACACATTTATAGTACTGCTTTATAACCTGAAGTTTGGCTGTACACTTTCATTTTTATGACTTTTTCAACACAGCTGGATCTCTTTTACACATAACTGTTAATGTCGTGCATTTCAAGGCTAATATTTCATAGAAGGCTACAATCTCTAGATTAGCCTACATTGTTATTAAATGCCAATTTTAACTACTGCAAAACCAAATTATTCCACCACAATGTATTTTCTACAAATCCAATTGTTAGGTTATGTATAAAGGATATTTAATAGCACACCAGAAGGACCAAAATGTTAAAAAGCAAATAAATAAAAAAACATATCCAGCGACAACTAAGAAAAATAGCTATATGTTACTATACAATTATACAAAAGAAAGCTGAAAAACCTATTCTAAACATTTTAGAAGCATATAATTACATGTAGTATTTGTATAAAATACTTTTTGACTCACAAAACACAGTTCAGAACAACAGCCCCTCAGACAGCATGGAAAATAAGACTTTAACTGGAGTATTGCTGCTTCCTTAAACTGATATCAGGCATTGATGTGCACACTAATCAACCAGCCAGATTGGGATCTGCCAATGGTAGAGAGCGTGGTAGATCAAATACCGAAAGGTCTAAAAATAAATCTGTGCAATTCTAGAGAAAGGATTTCTCTTTGTGGATTGTGATTAGCAATTTGGTTCAATGCCTTGAACTGCTTTGATAGTCTTAATGCTTTAAAAACTTATTTTTCTTAACAAGGATAAAAAAAAAGTATCAGAATTAGTAACTCGTAAAGTACCTTAACCTACACTTATGATGAACTTTCACAGACAGTTGAAAAATTTGCAAAAGCCACCAAACAGTTTTGTTTTTAGCTTTTAGGTCAAACTTATAACACCAGTTATGCTATTATACATGCAAACCTTTGAATGCTGTTCAGTTAACTAGAATTTCATTTACAGTGTACTTGTATTGTTAGTATTCAAAGAAGCGTCGGCGTATCGTTAAGAGTTCAGCTCAGTGCATAAATTAGTCGACCTGAAAATGAAAGGAACATTTGTAGGTCAAGGGGAAAAGTCCTGCACTTTTTTTTTTTTGCAATCTGTTTCCTTACTAAACAACAGTTACAGACAGTTACCTTAATGCATTACCTTGACACTTTGAGGGTACAAATATTTTATACACTAAAATATTTGTGAATGCACTATAATCCTGCTTTACCTTTGATTGTAATAAAACCTTAAATGCAGCCCACCCCCTCCACAGTCATGTATTGAGTAAGAACTTTTTTTCGCAGTGTTTTAAATACTACAACAGTTAGAAGTTTGTTAAACAAAAAAACCCAAAACAAACTACTCTAGGGTTATTTTACATGAACTATGCACTATGTTCAGATTCTTTTAACAGCTCAGGCACAGTTTGTCTAAATAGTCTTTTGATTATTGCAAAGTCCTTTAAACCAGATAATGTTCCTTATTTTACACAAAAGGAGTATTTTGCCTTAAATATCCTATATTGCATCACTTAATACTTTAAACACTTGTTTAATACTGCACACATAGAACATTCCACAATACGTAGAAAGTAGAACAGCTGACACTTAAATTAAAGATTTAACATATTTTTATTTTGTATCTCTAAATTATATAAAAAACAACAGCAACCAGTTTCCTCAATGCTAAAATTAACTAATTCCTGTTCAGGGTTATTCTAGGCTAATAAACACATGAAATGAAATATAAAGTCTTAGATCATGTCTAATAAGTTTAGTTCATGCTCCTTGTTTCGTATTGTTATTATTGTCAGTATTTTGTTTTTTGCCTTAATTCCATTAAATATTCAACAATTTATTTACACTCCACTAGTGAAGTAATTGAGCATTTAAATTTTTTTTGGTAAGTCAAAGAAGTTTAGATTTTGGTCTGAAAGTTTCTACATATTTACAGCTTTGCAGCTAGAAAACAACTTGAAAATTAAAAGTTTTATGACCAGATTTCTTTTGCCGTGCCTTTAAATGTAAATTTACAACAGTGGCAGGATTTTTCTTTACAGATTAAGGTTTGACTTGTAAAACAAGGTCATAAAAAATTACATATTAAACTTTGCAGCTTTATGAAAAGGAATCTCATGTGATGTCACCTGAACAACATTTCAGTGTGTTTACACTCTTATGTAATCACAGGAGGAGCAAGTTAAAACCAATTTAAAACAGCATGCAACAGGTACATCCAGATTTATGAGTGGATTCATAAGCATGATTCTTGTATCTCTATAGTGCTAAAGACGCTAAAAAATATAGGTTCACTTATTTGCATGAGTTAGGTCAACACTTTCCTCACAACAGAATTTAAGACTAGAAATTTCTTCCATTGTAGCCAACAATATGGTTAGTTTTGCGACACCAATACAATGAAGCATAGATGCAGGAGAAGTTCGCTATCATATATGTTCGATGAAGTAAAGACTTGATCAATGTGACAGAAGCAATCTCTGAACAGTATAAAAATACAATTAAAAAGTTACATAAAGTGTTATTTAGTAGGTTCTAAGGTAAAAATACTGTTATTATTAACCACTGCAAGGTAGAGCAAAGGACAGCCAAAGGTCATTCTTTGATTACTATTATCATAAGTGATGCATACATGCTTGTATCTCTTTAACACTGGAAAAATAGATAAGGATACTTCTTTGCATGTCTATACTCCAGAAATGAGAATGTTGATTTGCCAACAAGACAATTATGTTTAAAAAGAAACAATGGAATTTTTCAATTGAGGATTAAGATATGCAATACATTAAACATATTGGTTATAAAGGTCTATAATATATTTGGGAAAAAAAATAAAAAAATAAAAATAATAGCTGAGAATTTTCTGTGCCCTGTAAAAATGCCAGTGAAATCTTAACAAAAACAATCAAATTTTAATTAAGAAGCAAAGAGTCTAAATGTTTATGATCAAATGTTTCCGAAAAGTCTGAATAGTTTTAGCTGAAATATTGAAGAAAGTGGAAAAAATATACAGAATATAGGCGAATGTTTTGTAAATCAAATGCTTTCTTATGTTACAAAAATACATTTATTTTAGAAGTGAAAAATATGGAGGAGATGTACAAATCTAAACCTGGAAGACATGAAATGTCTATTTCAATTATATATGGGGTAAACAAAGATCATATATTTAATAGTCCAACTTATGTTGGAAACTGTGGCTCATTTGGGTAATGTTATGAGGATTAAAAGGTTGCGGGTGCAAACCCAGCTTCCTCCTTCACATGTGTCACTGGGCAAAGAACTTCCATGTTCCATTTGAATTATACAGGCTTATTAATGTGTGCACGTATGAGCAAATATCTTAGTATATGACATGTAACGCAATATATTCGTATATATCACTTCATGGACACAGTATCTGCAAGAAGTGATGAAAATGTCAGACAGAACATTGTGTTTAGATCGTGTCCCCCTTGTTTGTCAGTCGATGGGAATTTAAGCACGCAGGAATTAAGTTTCTGCATTAAGCTGGGATTTTTCCTTTTTTTTATCTGACAAGTACAATGCACAACTTCACAAAAGACTTTATCAGTGCATAAACTGCAAAAATGGAAATCTAAGTCATTATTGCTTAAACTAAGTGCATTTGTTCTTGAATTAAGGGGGTAAGTGAGACACTTTGCCAATGGAACAAGACAATTTACAGTTAAAATAAAGAAAAAGCAACTGTCTTATTACAAGTGCATATTATCTAATTATCTTATCTTAAGAATAAAAATACGCATTCCACTGGCAAATCATGCCATTTACCTACTAAAATTAAGAAATGTTTACTTATTTCAATATCATTTTTGCAGTGTACAGTTTTCAAATATTTAATTCAATTGAAATAATTATTTCATCTAATTAGAATCGCTCCATCTTTATAGTTTTATATTATTATGACGTGGCTTCTCTCAGCGCTGCTGCACCCTAAAGGCAACAAACTTATTTTCAAATAACGGCATATATTAAAACACATAATAACAGCACGAAATCACAATCGCACCCCCGGAACATAGATAAACACGCTGAAAGAGAAGACAAAAACAGGCGGGTTTATTTGTTGTTTTTGTTTTACCGTCCCTCTCAGATACAGTAATCCGAAAAAAGTGCGCGTCTTATCGGGATCTGAGGCGTATATTTATTTACGCGTCTGAGCGCGTGTGTCAGCTGAGATGGGAGGAGAGAGAGAGGAGGACAGGCTGCAGCGGAACAGGCTGTTCCCAGCCTGGCACGGAACGGGTTACAGGTCAGGGTGTCTATTGGAACACAGTGTTCTCATCAGCAGCGGTACAGCTACAGTACAGCCGGAACATTGTGTTACTTTGTGGCTGCTTTCCAAGACCTGCCCGTAATTTTACACTAAACACCCTCCCACAACTCTACACGTTTCTGCTCCCCCCACTTTTTTTCTACTCTATCTCCCTCTCTCTCTTTCTGTCATTTTTTTTGTGTGTGTGAGTTTCTCCACAGTGTCATCTTGAAGTCAGACAGAGCTGCATGTCGGGGGGAAACTACACCGGCACAGGCAGTCATCATCAACAGAGAAAGAAGGGGGGAAAAAATAGGGGATTGAGATTAAAGAGAGAAAAGAGCGCTCTACCTAAAAAAACCACAGAACATAAAGTCCCCAGCTGGATTTAAGATAAGGAGACGCGCATACTTGAATTAATATAAGAAGACGCGTTCAGCTGCAGCGGCTGGGAGTATCCATATTATATACAAACACAAAAAAAGGCGGATCACATGAGAATGTAAGTGTGTTTTACATCTATTTTTTAACTATGTTGCAAGAAAACAAACTTGGATTAGAGTTCATTTAGAGCCGAACCCTACCGGCTTTTTCTGTCATCCATGTCATCCAGATTGACTGGACACTTGTTATGCGCAACGATTTCATTTAAGTCACACAAAGTAGTGAGACAAATGTGCATTTTGAGATCGGTGCAATATTCCTTTTTTTTTAAATACGACTATTTTTGCATGTGGTCCACGGTCGTGTGGGTCCCAGAGGAGGAGGAGGAGGAGGATGAGAACATCCAGGATCCCGGCAGGCTTAGGTGTCTTCTTCATAAATTACAGGTTTCATGGCTACTTCTTAGAAATAGAACAACTCCGGTACATTGTGTGCTCTGTTTTTTTTTATTTTAGTCACGATGCTTATAAGAGATCACAACACAAGTTCTCTGTGTGACTGTAAAACCATTGACTAATAGCTCAGAAGCAGGTGAGAAAGTAAAGGTGTGATCTTTGCACAGTTTCTGACCTTAATATTGGATGAATTATTAACAATTAGGGGTGATGTTAAAAAGAAAAAACAACTATTATCAAAGACTGTTAAGCATATAAGTTAAAATTAAAAAACAAAACAAAAAAGGTATACTTTTTTTGGGGGGGGTTAAAAATCTTCAAAACAAAAATTTCCACTGCTGAAATATGTCCAAAAAGTGACCTCTGTGAACTTGACTTTTCAAGCCTTTCATGCTTAATTGTAACAGGTGAAAGCGAGAAATAAAAAAGAGAATGAGACAATGCTTTGAGATGTTAGTGTACAAGTTTATCACACACACACACACACACACACACACACACACACACACACACACACACACACACACACACACACACACACACACACACACACACACACACACACACACACACAGTGTCCCCACTTGTTTAGGTATGAATCAGCAGCTGAGTACGGATGTGAGACAGAATGTACAGATACACTGTGTGAGGCTCTGGATGTGCTCTTTGGCTCATTGTGTTCTGTTCCTGCATTCCTCCGCAGGGTATCTTAGTTTTTGGTACATGAAGTCTATACATGTTATCCTATCTGAAGTGTAACCAAATTTATACTCTGTTTATTTCAGCGTCTCACACTTGTGCATATTTTATACGGCAGATGGTAACCATAGCAGAAAAACAGATCAGAATGGAGGGAATTGGAAACTTTTGCTCATAGGTTACTGTTGAAAATGTCAGTTTGTTAAAGTACTAGTTGTTTCCTGGTTCACATTATGCACCGGCATAAAATAAATGGTGACTAACACTCTCGGTTTGTCAATTTTAAACTCCCCCACCACACACATACACACACACACACACACACAAAAATGAAAACATTTGAAGCCTGATCGTACATGAGGGGGTCTTCGATTGGCAAACGCCGTCAGGCTTTGCCAGCGGGAACTGTGAATAGAAGGAACATTGTGTTCAGACACAAACACAGACACACAGACTCTCTTACGCTTAAGTTACATCTAAGATCAAATTCATAACATTTATAAGATGTCATAAAAGGGTTTTGTGGCTGATGGAGGGGACATTTTGTTCTCTTCTTGCAGATAAACACTTTTATTTCTCAGAGAGTCACAAAAAGTGAAGGAACCGATGAGGCAAGTCTTTGCAGCTTCAACCTGTGGTTTGAGGTGTGCACAAGGCACAATGGTCACAGTTTGTAAGAATCATTTCAAATTATGATCAGTGTTTAGAACTGTTGTGGTGTTGACTCATGCAGGTAAAGATTCATGATTATATAATAAGAATATGATGAAATTATGATAATCCTTGCAAAAAATTTTTATTCAGAGTGATTTAAAGCAGAGAGTTCAAAACACTGATCTGTCTTAACTTGAACGACGGTGAAAGAGTCATGAAACACTTTTTTGTTTAAACAAGTTGTCCAATAAGAAGAAGCTTTAAAGACATTTACATGGGAATCCTTTTTCTCCCTCTAAATCTAGAATTTTAGAAATAAGCGTTTAGTGTTTAATAAGTGTTTAATATTTTTCTTTATAAGATTTAGATTTGAAAGAAAAATACTTTCTCTACATATCTGTTTAGAAGAAAAGAAAAGGAGCATTTTTTGTCCTGTTCTTGAACAGAGATACCCTTTATTACTTATTCCTACATTCCCTTTACATGCACTTCATATCAAATAATTAGCCAAAACAGGGTCTTGAGGTTGCAATCATAAAATCAAACAGTTTAAAGGTAGTTTAAAAAAAGTTAAAAATGTCACACTCTAGCAAGGCACAAATACATCTGCTCCCAGACTTATTGAAGATTTTTTGTGACTTCTCTAAATTTCACTAATTTAGCTAACCACAGCAACGTCTCCACGTGGTCCGTAGCAGTGATCTGCAAGTATTATTATCTCAGCTGCTGCATATAATCAAGTAATTGTGCTTGCCAATGGGCTTTAGCAGGACAGTAGTGCCTTTCTATTGTCTTTATGCAATACAGAGATAATTGCATCAAACAGGACTTGGTTGTTAGCAATGCTTTAGAGAAACGGACAATAATTGCTGACAAGATAAAAGAGTCATCGTGTAGCAGCTCTTAAAGCAACATGTCATTACAGTTTTTATGGGTTTGGCAAACTTCTGTTTTCTTTTTTTTATCGCTCCACATGGATATGTGAGATGTTGGCAGCAGACCTGTCCGTCAAGCTACATACTGAACATTTTTTCATACAGCCTTGTTTCATCACCAAATGTTTCATCACTGCAAGAGCCAAAAATATATATGTATATATATATATATATATATATATATATATATATATATATATATATATATATATATATATATATATATATATATATATATATATATATATATATATATATATATATATATACATATATATATATATATATATATATATATATATATATATATATATATATATATATATATATATATATATATATATATATATATATATATATATATATTAGACCTTTAAACATCACATAAGTAGCTACATCGATAACTTTTAAAGTTCCAAGTTCCAAGCTTTTGTCTGTTTTTAGATACTGTAAAAAACAGTAGCATAGCTTAATGAAAATATTGATCTAATTTTTTTTTTTACATAAACAGAACTTTTTTCATAAGGTTTTTTTTTTCATAAAGCTTAATGCCTAATTCTTTTTAATTGGAAAAAAAATATTAATTGGAAAAAGAAACTTAAATATAATTTAAAATGACAGTAAATACACAAATCTTAACTGGAATAAATACTGGAATAAAGCATTGCTACTATAATGGTATTATTCATAAAAGTATGGCTAATGGCTAAAATATTGGTAATAATCAGATTTAAACACAAATAGCAACACTGAAATGAGAAAACAGATTCAAGCATTTTGAATCTAGATGAGAGCTAATTATTACTATTATTCTATTCAATAAATACAAGTAGCCTTAAAGTACTTCAACTAAGTAAAAAATATTGCCAGAGGGAATTTTATAATGGTGTCTGTTGTTTATTAAAAGTAAAGCAACACCCACAATAAATATGTCATAACTATTAAATACACTCGCCAGAAAATTCACCTGCTTAAAAACTCCAATACAGTTAATCCCAGTAAAAGGACACAGTAAATCCCATGATAGTTACCTCTCATAGGAGCTTCAAGCAGCTACTTTTCTAACTTCCTGTCGATGCTGTCTGTACTGCACTACAAACAGCAGCTGGAACAACAACAGGAAAAGCACATTTTATTCCTTGGTATAGCAGTTCTCTGGAAGGAGAAACTTAAAAGTCTGTTGTTATTGTAGATATGTATGTCTTGGAATGAAATACTTATTAAGGGTATTTATTACATTTATAACACAGAGAATCTATTCAGATTCTGTGACTAAATTTAGAGTGAATACTCTTTGTAACAAATAGTAGTTCAAGACAAAATATTTCACCTAGAAACAGATATTAATATCTATAAGATCAATATTGAACATCTATTGATTTTGCGTTGTTTATGTACGTTCGCAGAACCTTCCACCTTTAGTAACAACTGCTACCTTTACATCCGACAGGTAATAAATCACAGGTGATAAATCACACATGAATTGCTGCTGGCTAACCCTTTCACACTCAATTAAGATACAAAGACATCTTGTTTGTTAAGAGAAAAAAAAAAAGGTTACAATTTTAATGTAGATTAAATTAGATTATGGGTGTAGATTGTGTTCCAAAAAGGCCAAAAATAGGCTTAATATCTTCTAAGGTATGAAAGTTATAAACATACAAGTTGTTCTTAATAGAGCATCTTACTTTTTTAACCAAAAAAGATGCCAACTGCAGGTCCCTCTTTAACGTGGGTTAATGTAGCCCAAAATTTTACTAAGCGAAAAGTATAACATTAATATCTTTTACTCACGTAAGTGTATAAAAATACTTGATAAAATGGCTACTCAAGTATCCGACCTGTGCCTCATGTCTCTCCCCCTCTTTCATACCCCCTTTCCTGTCAGCCTACTGTCCAAAAAAGAGCCACTAGTGCTGTAAAAACTCAAAAAGAGGATGGAATCAGACACTCAGTTATGTGTAAATTACTATCATTTTATTGAATAAAATTAGAAAAACACAAATAGATAACATATTTGGGCAATGGAAACACTTTTCCAAATACTTTTCTTCAAAAATAAAGAACTCCCATATACAATATCCACTGTTCCCTGTATTACCAACTGATTTTCAAATAGCTACAGTAATATTTCTCATTTCAGGGTAGAGTAACCAGGAATGTTACTCCAGTTAGAGTAGCGACAATCTCACAAAAAAATGACTTAAATAAAAGTAAAGTTAAGTACAATTAAATCTCAAAGTTACCCAAGTAAAGGGCATATAGCCAGATGGGGAAAGAGCAATATTTATCCTTTATACAGCACTCATTTCATTAACCCCCCCCCCCCCCCCAAAAAAAATAAGCCTAGAAGACAATAAATGTTCACTAGTTGTTTTGTTCACCTCATCTATTCCAGCAATGTTATTCATCTCTCTCATTTTGACACGCATGAGAAAATTATTTAACTAATGATTAAGTCATGCAGGGACTTTTAGAACTCTTAAAATTATTTACTTTAAACTACAGAAGTTACTTTGTGTCTATGTGCCAAAACTGCCCCTGCATGACAAAAAAATCGGCAAAAGGATCATTAATAGTTCCCTGACTTCTGAAGCTGTCGATATTTTAGAACTATTCCTTTTTCTACATTCCCTTATCAGCTATATTACTAATGCTTGTTTGTATATCAACACCAACTTATTTTAAACTGTATTGTTTTTGTTTGTTATCTCATTGCTAGAGCTTATTCTAATGTACAATAAGTTTATTTGAGTTCATTTGTCATGAAATTGGCTAAAATCAGTAAAAAAAAATGTATTATTGATTAGAAAGTAAGAGGTTTTGTTCACTGTTTTCAAAATGCCTTTATCAAATGCATTGATTATTTTATTCCCCTTTGCATTTCTATCAGCAGCTCAGCTTCTTAGCTTATAAAAAGTGTTAATAACAAAAAGTCTAGAAGCCTCCTTTTCCTATGCTAATGTTGTTTGTTGCTACTTTAAACATCTGGACTTGGGCTTGCTGTGTAATTTAATTGGATTATATTTGTACATCATTATGTTAGGCTTGGTGTTGATATGCCGAGGGTATTTAATCACTATAAATTCATGAATTGGTTGTGCAATCTTGCACTCTTTCCAAGGATGCAGCCTCTGAATTTGGAAACAGCTTATAATATTAAATCTATTTTCTTCAGCTGTAAAGCTTCAGATATGCTCTAACTTTCATTAGCTTAAGCAGTCAAACAAAGCTTTAAAATGTGAAAAGAAATATATAAATTGTTCTTTTAGGAGAGATGGCACAGCTTTATCGGTACAGTGTGAGATAGTGGCCAAGCCCACGCGCTCCCTTCGTGTTCTCCCAGAGAGAAGACATCACTATTAATGATGTTATGAAAGTACAATAGAGTGTACATATCTGAAAGTGACTCAGCTTTGCTGCAGGTGTAGTTCTGATGTTAGTGAAACACTTTGAATTAATTTAAAGTCAGTCAAAGAGCACAATCCCATGCCACCTAATTTGAGAAGGAACTTAGCTCAGCAAAGAAAGCGACATGCAGACAGATACGATTACGTAACCATCTAATCTGTGTGGGGATTCAACAAGGTGTCTTGTATTTGTGTTGCTCAAATGGCTTTTAGTGATGCCTTTTTTTTGAACAAAACTATAAACGTGGGTGCAGCTGGTGCATAGATTCAGAGCATAAATCCTTAATAGATTTCATTTACAGAATATGAGGAAAGGAAGGTGTCTATGGGTGATATTGATCATCTTCAACTTTCTTATTCATGGTTTTATTCAATTCTACTAAAAAAAGAAGTTACTGAATGTCAGATTACTCTTACTTAAATGTGAAAACAAGAAAATGAGCACAGATCAGACTGTTAATATGTTTGCTGCTTTGCATCTTTTGTATCCTTTGCAGCGTTCTTGTGTTATGCCCGTAAAGCAGCAATGACCACAGATCAGTTTTTGCCTATGGACGATAAGTCAGCAACAGCTGTGTTTGCTGCAAATGGTATTGATGTAACACCAATAAAAGATCAGGGAGTTTACAAGGTGCGTATTAAGTTTGTTTAAGCTTTCTGCACATCATTCAATTAATCTACTTCAGCTTAACAGCTGCTATTGCTTTAGATGTTGTTTAGCAAAAAGGTTTCTGTCTATTTTAGGTTGTAAGGCGCCAGGGACTTGATGGGGACCGGCCAATGATTGGGGACAAAGTGACTGTACACTACACTGGAAAACTGCTTACTGGGAAGAAATTTGATTGCAGTCGGGAACGCCTTGAGCCTTTTTGCTTTAATGTAGGCAAAGGTAGGTGCTTAAAGTTAATCATTTTAAAGCTTAATGAATTTTTAGGGCCTGATCTTTTTTTTTTTTTTTTTTTACCATTGGGGGGATTGAAAAATGTGACTAAATACTTTTGGTTACCTAAGTTACAGTTGCCTAAGAAAGATTGGAAAGGAGTAATTAATAGTTTTTTATCCACACTTTATCGTTATTAAGATAGTACAACATATACCCTGATAAGATTTGAAGTACATATCACCCAGGCCAACTTAAAAGACGTTCAGACTTTTGTAGATCTTCAAGGAAGACACAAAGCAATTAGCACATGCAATTCAGCAGGCAGCGTGAGAAAATATTTTTTTTGCATGTGTACCTTCATCAATATTCAGGTCATATTCTAATGACCAAACAGCAAAAATATAGGAGGGAAGGATGTGCAAATGTAAATCTTTTTTTAAATCTGAAACTAATTTTTTGCAGTTTTTGCGTCTTGTTTATAGCACTTTTGTAATCAAGTGCAAACTCGCACACAATCATTTCAGCAATAGTTGTGGCCCAATGGAAGCTTTGGTACAATGGCAGACAATGTCGACATATGTTGACCACCAGACACCACAATAGTTGAAAATTATTGATAGAGAAAAAAAATTCTATGCAAGTTGGCACACACTAATGCAGAAAGACTGCAGATATTCTTTATAGAACTAAATGAAATTGAAAAATATACTGAGCTGTACTATTGGGGTCCGTCTAAAAAAAAAAAGAATATCAATAGCTATGAGAAAACATCCACCAGAGAGACTGTAAAAGTATGGACTTTTTAATCATGGCAAGAGTTTTTTTTCTCCCTTAAATGATTTTAAGGGGCCCCAGATAAAGCATGGCTATTTTTTTTTTTTATTATTATAGGCCAACCTTGTTTTACGGTGTATTGGGCCAACCAGCTGTAGAGAGGAGTCAGTGGTAGTAAATCCAGCTGTTCAGATTATAATCTGCTGTGAATGGGGCTGTGGCTCCTTCTCTGACAGACAAAGACAATTTGTCTTTGTCTGTCAGAGGGGGGGGACAATTAATTGTATCCTTATTTATTTATTAAGCATTTATTTATTTCTGTATTTATTTTTAAATATGGCAGAGTTGGTCCTCCATACAAATATATATTCTATTATTATAACAAATTTATTTTGCAATATAATATTTGAGACAAAATTAAGTATTTTCATTCAGTATTTAACCAAAACCATTACTAATTTATGTTGTGATAGAAATACCTTTTTTCCCCCACTATCTGATGGTTATATATTATTATTTTCCGTTTACACTTAAACAAATATGAAATAAGCTTGTCCTTGTCTCTGGTCTAGACTTTATGCAAAGTTAGACTCTCAGGTGGTAGACCTCTATTCCACAGCAAGTTCATTCATGATGAACCATATATTTTATTTCTTGCAATTATTCTTTTTTTTTTTGGGATAATCTTTTAATAATCATGGTGAACCTTTTTATACCTTCACAGGACAAGTTTTAAAAGCATGGGACATTGGTGTACTGTCAATGCAGAGAGGAGAGGTGTGCACTCTGCTCTGTAAACCAGATTATGCCTATGGACCGACTGGAAATCCAGACAAAATTCCTCCCAACTCATCAGTAGTGTTTGAGGTCAGTACGCCCTGTTGCTGCAGCTTTAGATTAATTATAAAACGCTGTGAAAGAGTCTACTAATGTGTAATCCTACCTTTTTTTGTCTAACTTATGAGCTTTCTGAGTATAAAATAATTTTTTTTCTGTTTTAATTCCTCCTTGCCGTGGAGGTTCAAACCCCAGCTTAGGGTCTTCGTATGTTCTCTACAGAGATGCACTGGTTCTCTGGGTACTCTGGCTTCTTCACCTAGTTCAAAAACATGAATGCTAGGTTGACTGGGGTTTCTATATTGATCTTAGGTTTAAGTTCACACTATGTGCACGGTTATATGTCTGGTGACATGTCCAGGTTGTACCCCACCAATTTACTGGAGATAGCTTCAGTGACTTTTACTCACACAGAGCAGAGCTTAAGAAGATCATTGTATTTCTGTTTAAAGTTCTTCTCGAATTGGATCAATTAGGAAGACATTTTTGTTTTGTAAAACATTTTTAAATTCTCACATTTTTTATTGCTGTTTGTCTTTTTATGGTATTTGTTCATGCAATATGAATATGCCATTTTTTAGGTAACTGCACAGTGTTTTTTCTTTTTTTAAAGTCTATTTCTTTTGCTTTTTGTACAGTCTGTTTTAATTTTTTTGATCTATTCTGTTCTGTTCTATTCCATTCTAATCTATTCTATTCTACTCTAATCTGTTTTTACCAAGAACACATGTAAATCGCAGATTTAATTTAGATAAAAGGCCAAAATAACCTTAATTAAAGTGCAACATGTTGTGTTGGTTTGAAGACGCAGGTTAGACTGGTCCACTTCACAAAAGAGATGTCATCACAAGTATAGCAAACTTACATAAACTGAAGCAAAATTGATGTCCTGAGACATGCTTTGGATGTCTTTGGACATCTGTTATCAGTTTAAAGCTTGGGTGCAGATCGGTCTTCAGACTAATTTGACACTGCAGACCGCTGAACAAAGTGATGGAAGAAATATGCTAAAGAAACCTCCAAGTATGCTTCTGGCAGTTAAAAATGCCATGTCGAAGTTTAAAAAACCGTTAGCACCAGAATGACCAAATAAATGCTTTGCAGCAAATCCAACAAAGAAACAGTTTTAAAATGATGGTAATTTACAAACTGAAAACCAATTATTAACTACACATTCCCACAGAGACAGGGTTAAATAATCCAACCCGTTATTATCAGTAACCAGTAATTTACAAACCACACAGGTTCTGTCTGTTTACTTTTACAGCAACACATAAAACCTGAATACATGTTCTGGCAAAGTATTAGAAATTATATCCCTGACTTGGAATAGAAAAATTCTGCTAAATATGTTTATACTTTTTTAAATGTTATTTTTAACATTAGATCCTGTTTTGTTTAAATGTTGGTTACAAGTTTTGTTTCCTCTTTCCACCTCCTACATGTTCTGAGTTCTGCTACATTTTAGTGAGATAAATTTCATATTCTACTTACTTTATATTTAACAAATGATGATGAGATTTATCTTTCTTATCTCTATAGATGGAGCTGCTAAACTTTGAAGGAGAGATGCTTACAACTGATGGAGGCATCATAAGGAGAATTAAGGTCAAAGGGGAAGGTTACAGTAATCCTAACGATGGAGCCAGAGTTGATGGTAGCCACATTATTTGTTTTAGAGACCAACCCCTATAAGATTAACTCATAATGCAAGAGTTCTGATTGATTACCTGTTTTGTACAGTACACCTGGAGGGACGCCATGGGGACCGGTTGTTTGATTGCAGGGACATTAGCTTCACTGTTGGACAAGGTGAAGATGAAGGCATTCCTTTTGGGGTTGACCGAGCTATGGACAAGATGCAAAAAGGAGAATGCTGTTTACTTTATCTAAAACCAAAGTAAGTTTCTCACAAGTTCTTAAAGCATGCAAAATATGTTACTGCTTTTTTTAACTGTTCTATAAGTAATTTTCTATTGAGAATGACTGCTTTAAACTCTTTACTTCCGTGACTCAAGGCTTTCAAACAAGAATAAAGAGCCTTATTGTCATCATGTCAACATAACGACATTTCTCAGAGACACGGCCTCAAAATTCACCTTTAATACGCAGACAAAAGATTTGTCCTCATATTTATGGAATAGACGCATATGGTTTTAGAAGTTTACAAATAACTGTTAAATCAACCAAGATTTACCAGAAATCTGTAAAAGTATTTTTCCATATTGCCACAATATGTGGATGCATCAAAATACACATTCCTTTTGAAATCATACAAACGTCTTTAATATGTTCCTTTTTAAACAATTAGTTGTGTATTTCATTGAGATCATTTAGCACAGTTTGGAGCATGCCTGTATTAAGGTGCTTTGCTTGAATAGTTTTAGATTTTTTTTTTCTCTCAACCAGTTGTTCCCCTTTAGAAAAAAAAGCACCCACATGGTATGATGCTGCCAGCACTGTGCTGCACTATAGGCGGCATATATAGCATTTTAAGTGTGTTGCTTGTTGGCTTAAAAAAATATAAAAAAGTTGGTAACTAGCATAATGATAAAAAAAAAGCAAAAGGCATTTTGTTTGCCAGGCATTATAATTCGATGTTAAAAGATTACATCTAAATACTATTCAGTTTTCTGCTCAACAAAATGCCTTCAGGAGTGAGAACCAGAAAGTTTTACTTTTCAGTCTTCAATGTGGAAGGACAACATTGCAACATTGCTGGGTTAAATGTATACATGACTTGTTAAGTTTTTAAATCAGGTTATGTTCATTATACAGGGAATTTTCTTAAACAATATACTTTATAGAATGCGTGGAACTTCTAACCAGGTGTGGCCAGTGTCACTCTAGGGTATTAGAAATATGAATACAATTTTTTTGACTGAAACAGAAGATGTGAGAATAAAGCCAATGCGACAGCTGGAAGTGCTTCTCAGGATCAGAACATTACCGACCTGTAGGTTTGGTTCATCCTCGAATTAGAGCTGTGCTGTCTGGCCTCTTTTCTTTTCCAGAGACTCCAGCTAACTCTGCAGGCTTATTTAAATTCCAGACTTCTAGAACATTTTTTGTAATTTTCAGTCTCAAGAACAATTATGAAGTTAAGTGTCTTCATCATCCTTTAAACAAATGAAGAGATCATTGACAATATGCTTTAAATTTAAATCCTTTGGTTACCTGAAATAGAAACAAAAAACATTTTATATTGTCTTTTATTAAACAGGATTTTCAGCCAAACATGTTTACTGTTAAATCTAATCAAAGGTTACTATGATATGATGTAAAGAAACCCCCCCCCAGAAAGTATTCACAGTGGGTTGTAACAATACCACCAAATATATATTTTTTTTGCTGTAAACATATTATTAAATCTATTTTACTTCAAGATATCTAAACTGAGTCTCTGACCTGTGTGTTAATAAATCACTATATTTGCAACAGCTGTGTGATTGCCTCAGAGATTGGTTAGAGAACATAACACATCTCAAAATGACAAAATGTGGACAAGTAATACATATTAATTAAGGGGCTGTATGTATTGCTGATCATTATTGTTTTGTTTCATTAAAAGAATATTTGTTTTCCATCGATAGGTATGGGTTTGGTAGTGAAGGCAAGCTGGAGTACAAAATTGGACCAGATAAAGATATTGTGTATGAAGTTACCCTCAAAGACTTTAAAAGGGTGAGTGAAGTATTTACTTTTTGAATGGATAAAACACGAGATTTTGCTTAGATCAGATTGGAAAGGGAGTCTTAGTCATATTTAAACCCATTTTGAACAAATATATAGATAAGGCAACATGAACTCAAATGATCTTATTACATATATATAATTGTCATGTTTCTAAGGCTAAAGAATCCTGGGAAATGGACTTGAAAGAAAAGCTGGATCTCACCCCTGCAATTAAAAATAAAGGGAATCAGTATTTCAAGGTATAGTTTCCTATACTACTGTTTCCAAACACATGTTTTAATTATTTAGATCTTTGAGACTGAGACGTATTTTTTATTATTAGGCAGGACGGTATCAACAGGCAGTCATCCAATACCAGCGCATCATTTCCTGGCTGGAGTTCGAGTTGGGTACTGGGATTGAGCAGCATAAAAAGATTCAAGACTATGTTATAACAGCTCACCTCAATTTAGCATTATGTTTCCTACGGCTAAAGGAGTTCTCTCAAGCAGTGGAAAACTGTAATAAGGTGAGCTGCATTACCCCTACAGCAGTGTATAGCAACCCCCTCCAGCCATGTTTATCCATTGCTGTGTGTTAATGTTTCTCTGTGTGCCTGTGTTTGTTTTTTTGCTTCTTTGTACAAGGTAATTGAGCAAGATGAGAGGAGTGAGAAGGCTCTGTATCGCCGAGGGGAAGCACGGCTTCTGAGGAACGAGTACAGCCTGGCCATTTCAGACTTTCAGAAAGTCCTCGAAGTCAACCCCTCGAATCGTGCAGCTCGCTCTCAACTTTTCAGCTGCCAGAACAAGATGAAGCAACATCAAGAGCAGGAAAAGAAGATCTACGCCAACATGTTCCAGAAGTTTGCAGAAAGGGACTCCGAGGTCCGTGTGCCGTCCATTCTTGGTTAAATGTAGTTTAGCAGCTATGCTAAAATGTCTTTCCTTTCCTTTCCTTTCCTTTCCTTTCCTTTCCTTTCCTTTCCTTTCCTTTCCTTTCCTTTCCTTTCCTTTCCTTTCCTTTCCTTTCCTTTCCTTTCTTTATTTTGAAGCAAATGTAATGGTAGCACCAAAATGGAGTTTTAAAAATACAATGTTGTATACATATATAAAGAACCTTTTGGATCACTGGGAAATTAGTTGATATCTTGCCCTTTAAAGCAGAATTTTGATTTGGCTCTAGCAAATTTAGTTACATTTAAAAGTTGGGCTGGGTTTTATAATATCCTGTCTAAATGATGTACAAATTCACAAAGATAAAATTGGTTAAACCAGCAAAATGAGATACATTTCTATGTATTTGGTAAGATAAAAAAATTCAATTGCCCTTTTTTGTTTCCAACATATCCAGCCTGTAATAATCAGTGTTGTACTGACCTCTAGTGGTGAAACAACTTTTCTCAACTGCTGGAGTTTGTTGTTGACACAAATACTAGCAAAGTAAAAGAAGAAATTGTTTGTTAAACATTAAAGTCATGTTAAGAAATATGGCACATGATTAGGCTATGATATAAGGTAAAGGTTTTTAATATATGAACAGATTAATTCATTTATTGGTGCTCTAAACAATAATCCTACATAGGATAATCGTTTCTTTTTGTTCATCATATCATTATATTTCTTTTAAACAGACTGGAAGACCAAAGAGGAGGAAGGATGAGAGCATGCAGAGCAGCATGAACGGTAGAGTGGGCATTAAACGAAGGCGACGGAGTCAGGACTGTCTGTCATAGCAGGGATATTTGAAAAAGGGAGAAGGGACAGCCTCTCATCTCCTGGGAAAAGAGGCAGAAAAAAAGCTGAAAAAGGCCTCTACCTGCACCTCTTCATCCCAAAAACTAGTGGGACCATTCCTGCATATAAAGCAGAGAGTGAGCTGAACAGCATTTATTTGTCACGTGTACTGTTGAACAACCAGAACGTTCCTCCCTGTGGGGATAGTACTACAAAAATCACAGAGTGAATATTGATATGAACACTTTTTGTCCAGTCTTTTATAAAAAAAAAGAGTACCTTCTTTACTTAAAACAAACCACAGGAATCCACCCCTTTTTTAAGTCATTTAGCAACTGTGCTGACATGTGCCTCCAAAGTGTGACTACTTGGTATTAGGCCTTTTGAAGGCAGCTGCATGCATGTATCGTGTTTGGAATTCAGACTTGAAACGTTGCAAAATTTGAAAATGTGCAATATGAACTTTGGATAAAAAAAGCAGAACTTGTAAACCTGCGAGTGTTTTTAAAAAAAACACTATTAATTTTTGTTTTGAGCAAATAACCCAAGTTAAACTTGGGTTAAACACGACTAAATGATGAAAGCTCTTTTCTAGACAATGCAAATTTTGTAAATCAGAGATTCGAACTCTACATTTTCATCTGGCAACAGAAGAAGAATTGCAGATAAAAGCACAACTAGATGCCAAAATGGTCATAAAACAAAGAGATGTATTTTTAAAAGGGTGGCAAATTCCTGATCGACATTCGACTGTAGATATTTTTTCTTAAATGTGACAACGGCTGAAAAGTTTACTTCCAGAAAAGAATAGAAAATTGAGCACTTTGTTTTCCTAAAATTTTCTTTGATAATGCACTAAAACATCTATACATCCATGAAAATATCTTTTTTTAATTTTGTTTTTTTATATAGATTTCACCCATCAGACAGTATTATAAAAAGCCACTCTGGTACTTTGTTTAATTCAACAAATAACTGGGCATGGTTTGATAAAAGAAAAAAATATCAAATTTCCCATCACAGGCAGCTAAAAAACTACTACTTAGATGTAAAATACAAAAGACAGAATACCAGCGCATTCTCCATAATACTGTACATCAATTCAAAGTTAATTTATTTCAGAAATTCGTTTAGGAAATGGTAAGCTACACAGATTTTTAAACCAGAATGATCTATTTATAGTGTTTGTTTCTGGTGATTGTGATGATTGTGGCTTATGTAAAAAATCTGAGATTATTATAATGAAACAAGATTAATAATCTATGGATAAATATGGATCTAATCCCCAGTTAAACTTAATTTATGAAACACTTTCAATACAGCTAACATTTAAAGCCAGGGTTTGAAATGGGTGTCTCTGTGTCGTAGAATATATTCACAGAGTCGTGGCTCCTTATGGATGAACCCAGTGAGGCTTGGAGGAGATCAGTCTTTGTCATCAACAATAGCCCAAAGCGTCTCTGTTAATTCCAAGTCAGGTGTGCACGTTTATACCAAGGTCAGATAGCTATTGTCATCTGTCAGCTCCACAAAGCTTAGCAATGGATGGAAAAATGTTTTTTCAACATATCCTGATAGATTGCTGCTCTGACTGTTATCCCGCGAAAATATGGCAGACAGACTCTCTGACAGGATGGATCATCTTGACTGAGGGCCTTCTGAACCTCTTCATTCTTCCCTCAAACCCACGGACCTTGATTCCCAAATAAAATGTAAAATGTACTTTTATTTGAATAGATGACTTCCCAGATAGCATACAGACATGGGCCACTTCAGGCAATAATCCTGCAGGCATCCGTGTGGCCCAGACAAAACAGATGTGAACCTAAAGTTTCCCACATATGGTTCCGCAAATGTGGCCCAGCTTTACCTAAACAGATTTGGGTCCCGTTTGGCCAAAAATATGGCAAGTAAGCCTAAAGTGGCCAATAAATGGTTTTTGCACATATGGCCCACCTTTACAAAAAACGTTTGGGCCCTTTTTGGCTGAAATATGGCAAGTAAGCATCAATCAATCAACCAATCTTTTTTACTCCAGGTTAGATACTTTTGACATCTTTGCTTGAGTAGCGGCTTAACACGACGACTACAAAACTTCCCTGGATACCATCTCTTTGTGGTGTCTTGTAAACACTGCCCAAACTCTTCTTAAGCTCCACTTCCCATGAACATGCGTGGATAGAGCTGTGTAAACATACAGCTGCTTTAGGTATGACCCGTCTGACTTATCCTCCTAGTTAAGGGTTTTAATAAAAATCTACTGAATGACTGCCAAGTTATTTCATTTTTATGTAAACTATAACATTGCTCCATTAATATTCTTCCATTGCCCCTGTGTAATATTCCAGTTTTCTTTTGGTTAAAAGTAAGCAACAATCTTCTAAATGAGCAGGAATAATTTCTTTAAATATATCGTTCTGTGATATTATTAAGGCATTAATACAAAATAGAATTTCCAATTGTTGAATAGAAATGTGTTAAACTTTTGGATGATAGTCTAAACTCGTGAAATGCTCCCTGTGTGTTATATTGAATGTGTCATAGTGATGCAGTGGTTTAGCACTTAACTCTTGCAAAGCAGGGGGTTCCCAGCTCTGAACTGCAGGACGGCAAAAGCCTTTCTGTAGATGGTTGTGTCTTGTCATCAGTTTACTCCCTCAATCCAAAGACAAACGGTTAAATGTTAAAACCCCATTTAGCTATAAGTTTGACATGAATGTTTTAACCCCCCCTTTTATGTTTAAGATAGGGAAGTCTGTGATATTTCTTTATACTCTGGAGCTTTAAATACATTCAAAGAGATAAAATGAACCTCTATCCTCTGTAAAAAAAAAAAAATAAATAAATAAAAAAAGGCACAATCTGGTAGAATGACTTAACCCCCACCTTTTGGCTTTTTCTTGTGTGTGTTCAGGAAATTTTGGAATCATAACAAATTTCCTTAATTTATTTTTCTAGTGAAATTAATTTTGCCTCTGCTCTAAAGCGTTTATTTTTGTTTTTCTTATTTTACACTCAATCCATTTCTTTTTTAAAAAGTGTGTTAATATTTTTGTAAAGGGCGATATTGCACTTTGGTCACTGTCCAACCAACATGTTTTAGAAACATTTGGCTGGTTCAGAATGAAAACCTTAGCTGTCTTAACAATTTTTTCATAAAAAAAAAAAAATGGCGGTGACCACATTGTGTTTGTGTGTCTGTATATATTATTGTATCTCAACAAGGTTTTTAAACAGCTTGTTGCTAAATGTTTCAAAGTGCTGCTGCATCTGAATATTCAAATATTTTGTATAGTGAAAAAATGAGCATGAAGTACTAATTTCTAGCCGTTTTAATTTGTAGATGAGGATTTACAGATTGTCTTACCAACTGCAACTAGAAGTAAAATATTTTCTGGCTTCTTATTTGTCACTTTTTTGGTAAATTTACAATCAGAGATTCTAGGTGTAAAAAGAACAAGAAAACTAACAGGCTAAAGAAAATGCAGCTGGATAAACTGCAATGTGTTTCGCTGTGATTGGATTTATCAAAACGATTGAAGTCTCTGTCACGAAATGTGTTTACATGTACTCAAACGATCATTGTCTTGTAAAGAAATGATCCATGTTTCTTATCGGCATTTATGCAAATAAATATTTTCTCACAAAATGCGTGTCGCTGATGTCATCTTTAAACATATACGTTCATAAGCACATGTTAAGCTGTGTGAGTAAAATAAAACAACTCTCCAAAAAAAGCATCATTGGTTTGAATCTCAGGGGCTCTTAAGTATTTGGAACCTCTTGTTAAAATCTATGGTTTTTGTGCTTTAAAAAGGGAGACTTTGATAAATCATTATAAAACTTCATTATTTCATTGCTGTTGCCTTTTGCTTATGTGGAGCATTGTGGCAGGGGCAGCAGTCTCAGCTTCCATCTCCTTCCCACAACTCCTCGAACTACTCTGGGGCGTCGGCTGAGAGGACCAAGTTGTTCTGGTCCTCCTTCCAGCGAAATCAGCCTGAAACACCTGAGGGAAGCTTCCAGGGGGCATCTGTAGGGGATGAAAAAGCTACAGCTGGAGGAGCAGCAGCTCTTCTCCATGTTCTTAAATGATGGCTGGTTCCTCATCCCTGAATGGCAGATATTTGGAAATCTCATTTAAGCTGCTTATATCCACGATGTCATTCTTTCATGAGCAAAGATGAAGGTCCTAAAATGCAGTAAGCTGGATAACATACATCAACCACTTTGATAAGGTTTAAACACATTTTGATTTAATATTTAGTCTTCTTTAGGTCATCAAATGTCATTAATTGTAGTGAATTGGGTTAACCTGAAATGTCAGCTTTTATCAGAGGGTTTTAAGAGTAATTTTTTTTTCTTTTAGCTAATGTCATGATTTGGCAAGGTAATCAAAAATTTATTATATCTATGAGGTCACAGATAAAGGGCTCTGGACAAAAATATCCACCATTATTGTGCCATAAACCATGATGTTTCGACATTGAGGACCAATGTTCATTTATCATCTTAATATGATCATTGGAGAATAGGATGCAGTTTTGCTCATAAAACAGCTGTGAGACCTCTCTTATCTGCTCTGCATCCCCCTCTCAGACTAACTTGCTCCACAAGACACCTCCCACAGAGGTCTGCCTTGACCCCCAAAGGATAATAACTATATTATAGAGTATCACAACGCATGCAACTTGACCAATCTAAAGAAACTATACAGGGTTTGGTAAATACTGTGGACTTTTGGTTTTGGGATGCCAATAATGTGTTGATGATTATATTTTGTCAAAGGTACTTCAACAAAACACTACTTTAATCCTGTACATACTTTTTTGAACAAGGTTGTTTTTTATTCCTCTAACTGATGTATTTTTGCAGTTGTATTAAAGAGGATGCATGTCACATATTTACAACCAAAAGGGGGCAGGACATATCATAGCAAAGATATAATATACGTTACTAGATCAAAGTAATTTCTCTAAAGAAACAGCTAATGCCAGCCCATAGTTGTGTGTGTTTTTTTTTTTTTTATAATAAAAGAGGTATTAAAAGTTTAAAATCACTTTTAGACAATTTGTTCAAACATAAATGTCACTGAATAATTTACAAATGGAAGTTTGGAAAAGAACATTAAGAGACATTAAGAAAACTGAATTTTTTTTTATGTAACTTCTATTTATAACCACATGAGGGCAGTGCAATTTCTTTTTTGTGACTTCCTGATAAGGAAGTTGTTGATAGTTGTCTGTTAAATTTTTTTTTCTTGTAAATGGAGACTCAGACATTAGTGTTTCACATAAAAACATTTGAGTACATTATAATTATAATGTATGGAATTAAATAGAACCTCAAAAACATTTGCAGAAAAAGTATGACTGGTGTTTGGAATCTACTTCATCAAATTTAGTTACTTTAACACAATTATGTCATGTAAGCAGGGAAGGACATAATGAAGTAGATGCCGAAAAACAGTTGTTATTATTTTTTTCAGGCTTATAATAAACACAAAAATAGAATCAATAATCTTTTTTTTGGCACTGGCTCATGCATAAAAAACACAGAATATTAAAATAAATTAAACATTTGCAGAAAAGGAATAGTGAGGATCGTGAAAAGAGACCAACAAAACTGTAAAAAACAAAATCAAAACAAGCCCCCTCAACTAGAGAAAAAAAGCAAAGGAACTTATGTGAAGTTTACATAAAGTGCAGCTGTGCTGAAACCTTCTACGAAAAGGGCTAATGGTTTATTTGCTTATCAGCAGGGGTGTTTTTGTGTGTATTGGATTTTGTTGTGTCTGTCTGAGGAGAGATATGTGTGTGTGTCCCTGTGAAGGTGAGATGAGATGTGTCTGACCGCAGGGGACGATCTCCTTCACAGCTTTGGAAAACAAACTGTTCCTGAGTCTATTTGTTCTGAAATCCAAGAATCCTTTTTCTTAATGGAAGGGTGCCAAAAAAATGCATTGAGAGCCCAGAACCAGTGTAAATCAATACTTTTTTATTTAATTGACATTTTCAGATATCAGACCTTGTTAATTACTAACTAGTAACATGTCAGAAAATAAAACATTTATACATGAATAATCTGTTGTTAATGCAGTCACATTTTTTATTTCATGATATAAGGCACTGAATTGTTACTACTGTTAACTTGCAGTAATAGCAAGATGTCAGCTTATCATCTAGGTATTTACGTTTTTTTTTAACTAACCTATTCTTTATTGTTTAAATGTGCAAAACAAATCCATGAATGAGTTCAATCAGCCACACATTAGACCACAGCATTTGCTCTTTTTGCCTTCGTCCTGTTTCCCAGTATCATAAAATAAACATTAATGACCAATACTGACACAGATTTTAGAGAGGCAGGTGCATAAATCACACCAAGACATTTCATGTGCTTACAGTGGTTCATAATGTGAGGATCAACACATTTTTTTAAATCATCACATTCAGTTTAAAATTGAACATGATGTTAACAACTCATCCACTGTCTAACAGGAATGGTAAAAAAGAAAATCACATTCATTTTTTTGTTGCATTGTAAATAGTGTTTGAAAGCAGCATCAGTAACAAACACTAGGTAGTTAATGATCTTAAAAGCTCTTAAAATGTTGCTCATTTTTGAAGATTAAGGAAATAACCTATCTTAAGGTCTGCTATTAATGTCTTTACATCTTGTTCCATTTCTATAGGTCAAAACTTATGGACACTTTGTGGCATTGTATTTAATATATAATTCAATATAAATACCTGAAATAAACACAAATTTGTCTCTTATGATAAAAAGCAATTATGCATCCTGAAAATCTTTAAGAAAATCCAGTCAGCTATATTTATAATTTTTCAGAAAATAACAGTTTAATCCTATCTGAACATCCCATAAAAGCCCTAATGGGCATCAAACATGCTGTCCCACACAGAATAAAATCCGACAAACTCAAAAAAGTTGACATCACAAATACATTGTTTGACTAGATGTTCACAAACTCTGCAATGTGTTAAGTTAATTCACAACTTTAGGTTAAAGCATTTGTAACAAGTAATATATAATGGTGGGGAGAGAGTGGAAATAAGTGAATTTGTATTTCAGAGTCCATTATTTTCACCTTAAAATATGTAGTGGACCCAAAGATGTATCTAAACTGAGACAAATTTGGTCTTTATGGTCTTTTCTGGCATATTTATCCATAATATTAGATTAAAAAAAGAACTTATTATCTTATTACTTAGAACTTATTACTTTTATATTTTGTGGATACAATTTCAAACAGAGAAGTTTTCTATACTTTTTGGTTACTCTAACTCTACAACACCCCCCTCAAATCCAGAGATCTTTGTCTCTTAGCATACCACATTCCACCCAGTTAAACAAACAAGCCGGAGAATCTGGGCTTGCATACCGTGGCTAAAATCTGGTTGACTGGTCACACATAACTCTTTGTGGAAACGTTAAGAAATGATTAGAGCCTGAAAAGGTTACATCTGCAGCATCATTCAGGCCACTTGAGTATAAACAACTGAATCACACCATAGGAAAAGTCAACATTAATATTTCTCCCTTTTTATACTGACAAAAACAGAAAATATGAAAATAGGATTTAAAACCTTATTAAAGAACACAAAAAATCCTTAATGGAGAATACAACACCTACAGGCATGGAAAGAGAAAAAAAAGATGCACAAGTTTTTTTGTGAAGATCTTATATGTTGTTGGTTAAATTGCTATTTTAAATTGGATTAGGGGACAGACTTTTCAAAAATCCAGCATATGAAGCTTTTGCCTAAATCCAAGCCTTGACCTTAATTTACAAATAAATTCAGAATTACTCAGACCACTGGCAGATTTAGGACTGATGAGACTAGAGTCTGTATCAGAAACAATAAACAATAAACAATTTAAAATGAAAAACACTTTTGATTTATCTATCTATTACTGGATAATAATTCAGCAATCATTGGAAAAGTCTTCATTGGATTTACAGAAATGAAACCCTCTTTATATTTTCTGTGATATTCAAGTCAGGCTGATTCAAAATATTAGTATTACTTCCAGCATTTGCTAGGTTGAGGAAATAAAACCATTATGTATAAGATAAATCTGCCAGTGTTGTATATAATTAGCAGCTGTGCATCATTTTGCTGTTTTGAGGAGGAATAAAAGTAGATATTAACAGAATACAATTCATTCAAATTATAATCAAAATTTGTGACTTTGATTTTATAGCTGTAGGAAATTTGTTATTGATACTGCTGTCTGTTTTGCCAAAAAAAACAAACCCATGTACAGTAAATCCTGTGCATGCTGATGGAGGATTAAAACATTTAGATTTTATGTAACAGGATTTTAAGTGTCAATTTGTTCAAAAGTTCTTTTGCCATAGAAGAAAACTCTTTTACACTTATTTTGTTTTTAATAGTAAGTTAAAAAAAACAAAGACGACGAAGAAACTAAAATATTTCATACTGACTATTAAACTCTGTAGTGCTTAATTGGCCAACAAGTAACACATCCAAAGTGCATTGGTTGTTGAATAATGATATTTTATATTATCAAAAAAAAGGAAATATAGGAAAATATTTGGGGAATTTAAATGTTTTCTGTGCATTTTGATTAAGGGCTGTTTTAGGATCCGACTTTAGAGTTCAAACATCTTAAAGATGGCACGAAGGGATCAGGTTTAGCGAACCTGAAGTATGTCTCATCCTATGGGACTGATTGTCCTTGTCACTCCACGTTACTCATAGACTGGGGCAAGTTGAGAAGTTCCAAAGCTTTTTTTTCTGACTTGGTCAAAGGAAGGTCTTCAGCTGGAGTGCACAGGATAGACATCCTCTGCAACAGAAGCACAGACGTTTTAACAGAAGTTGATTAGAAATGTTTTTATTCTGTGCAGATATGAAAATGCTTACCTCTCGTAGGGTACCAGGAGTTTTTACCAGATTGTACAGCATCCAGATGGGAACTATGAGGGTTGAAGAGAGCGTGAACCACCAGCCCAGAGCATAACCCCACCATGGGTACTCTATTGTATTGTTAAACTTCAGAGGGGTGTACTTAACCAAGGAAAAAATAAAAGTCCCCTGAAAATAAGAATGGAAAAAGATTATGAGCAGGAGCTTTTGTTATTTAATAGATCTTCATTATGTTGTATACTTTGACTAAAATTAAATGGTTGTGATTGATTTTAGTGTGTTTCCACACTAGGTAAATCCTTTGGTTCATATGTTTGATCAACACCAAAAATGATCATTGCTTGTTAGTTTTTTCTTTAAGTTGGTTCAGTGTGCTTTCACATTGTGCTTTTTGGACCAGAACATTAACATTTCTTTGTGCTGTATTTCCATCTTGCATAATTGTGCTATTTTCTTCACTTTGAAATTCATAAGTGGAGGGGTTGCATGGTTGAGCAGTAGTTAGCACTGTTGCCTTGAAGTAAGAAGGTTCTGGGTTTGAATCCTGGTTTGCATGTTCCCCCTGTTCATGTGTGGGTTTCCTCTGGGTACAGCCCACAGCCCAAAATATGACTGTTAGGTTAATTAGCATCTATAAATTGTCCTTAGGTGTGAGTGTGTGCATGGTTGTATGCTTCTGTATTGCCCTGTGACAGACTGGTGATGTGTCCTGGGTTTTTGGCTAAGGGTGGCCATGGCCACCCTTAGCCAAAAACTGGCCCCCCCTTTGGCCATCCCTGCCAAATGATCCCATGTGGTGTAAATTTACAAGCGGTTCCCCTCTAAAGGGGTGGCAGCAGTGACACTCTCAAGGGGATTTTCCTAACTAATTTTACAATTGAATTGTTTGTATATAAATACACAAAAACTAGTTTTTGTGTATTGCGGGGTAGAAAAGGAGCTTATGTGTCTCTATAGTCAGATAGGAGTTTTCTATGTCATTACAGATAAATAAAAATAAACATAAATGACAACTAAACTAATTTTTGTCTGTCTGTTTTTCTGTCTCTCTGTCTGTCCAAGAAATCCCAAATATACTCTAGTCCAGTGGTCTCCAACCCTGGTCCTCAAGATCTACTGTCCTACAGATTTTAGATGCATCCCTGCTTCAACAGAGCTTAATTAAATGAATGGCTTGAAAAGGTAATCATCATTTGATTCAACTGTGTTGAAGCAGGGATGCATCTAAAATCTGTAGGACAGTAGATCTTGAGGACCAGGGTTGGAGACCACTGCTCTAGTCTATGTTAATTTATTCTGAGACCCTTCTCTTCTTCTCATACACTTCTAAGTCCGGTTCTTGTGACTCTTAGTCATTAACAAACTATAGAGTAAGACCTATAGCTAGCTGAAAGCAAAGCTAACTGATACATAATAGAAGTGTGCCTGCACAGCGTTAGCATGCCAAAAGATGAGAGGAATTTTGTATACAAGATTTTTTGAAGACCTATAAAATTGGGCCAGCATAGGTTAGTTCACAGTCCGATACAGGGACGCTAAATCATAGAATGAATTTTCCAAATCAACGAAAGGCATGACTTCTGGCATATAAACCCATAATTTAGCTTGAAGTGATGTTGCTATTTTAATTTTTTCTTCCCTAAAAAATCTGTAATTTTAACTGTATTTACAACTAAACAAAAATTCCAAAACAATACTGCAACATTTAGTGTGGTTTGTGTATTCTTAAGACTACCTAATAATAAAGCTCATTGCTATATAGAAATAATGTGTCAACCTCTTCAGTGGAAACAGAAACAAAACAACATATTTCAGGTCAGATTTACAGCAGGATTAAAGCCTAAACGGGGAGCATAACCATTTTGATACTAATGAATTGCATACTATAAAAGTAAGCAGATGAGCTTAATTACAACCCACCATGCAAATCACTGGAGTGACGTATTTCAGACAGTACATAATGAGGGGAAACGGTCTGTATCCGATCATGTCCTCGATGTTATCGTAAAAGCGCTCAGCGCCTGCAAGAAGATAAAAACAAAGAAAATGAGTGTAAAGTTAGATCAAGCACAGAATTCATGCACAGTTCCTCCTGATCTTGAACTCACCATACACCCATCCAATGCCCACAGACTGCAGGATAGCAAACAGGAGCAAAGTCATTCCACTGCAGGCATAGTAGTCAAACACCTGGAAGATGTATAGTCCACCCTGTGCACAAGATTAGATATTTTACAATAATGCAATATGAACATATGCACTTAACAAATGAGTTGACCTTACTTCCGTCACCATGATAAGACCAATGAAGAAGCTGACAGCACAGAGGCCTAGAAGCAGAAGTTTACGTCGATGGCCGATTAGGAAGAAGGAGGGATACAGGTCAGATATTGCCGTTGTGAGAGCTTCAAGACCTACAAACTAAAGCACAGATCTCTGAGTCAAAAAGCAAGCTGCAAACTATGTTAATTCTACTAAATTAATGAACACACAAAATTCAGTATTAAAATTTTGTGTGTTCTTTTACACCAGATGATGTAAAAAAGTAATGAAAAAGTGACTACTTTAATATTTTCATAACAAATATATTTCTATTATTAATTTCAATCACAAAAAATGCTAAATAACTATTTACCTCACTATCCAGTCCCAGAAGAATAATCATTATGAAAAAAAATACTGCCCAAAGCTGAGGAAAAGGCATCATGGCCACGGCTCGAGGATAGGCGATAAACGCCAAACCAGGTCCTGGATTAAGAAAAGGGGGAACATTTCTTCACCAACAAAAAAACTGAGTATTTCATCAAATTATGCCACAAGACATTCAGACACATGACTGTTTAAATATGAATGAATTGAACAGAATTTAAAAATTTTTTTGAACTTACCTGATTCCGCCACTTTTGATATGTCTGTGTTCTGCTCATAGGCCATGAATCCAAGTGCAGAAAAGATGGCGAAACCAGCGACGAAACTGGTTCCACTGTTCAACAGGCACAAATACACACAATCCCTGTAAAAATAAAGAAACATATTAATTCAAATTATTTTCGTCTGCTGAAGTTTCTTTTTTCTATAAAATTTAACTTCAAGTCTACAAAAGTTTAGCAATGAGGTATCATAAAGCTCATTTTATTGTAATTTTTATTTTCTTTTTAAAAACCAAATGGTGAACATTGTATCAAACCTACTGAACTTACTTGTAGCAGTTATTGTTGTACTTATTATAACTGCCCAGTGCAACTAGACAACCGATACAGATTGCAAAGGAATAAAATATTTGCGTCCCGGCATCCATCCATACCTGCAGATAAAATGCAAAATGCAGGGGATTACATTCAACCTTTATTGCAAGTTTACAGTGCAGAGATGATTTATGAATGTTGTGAATTTGTGAATGTAAATTCCATTACTTATTTGACATGCAGGGATGCCTCTAGAAAGTTTTTCAAAGGGTTGGCAGGAGGGGTAATATTTGCGTGGCAAACTAGAGTTAACTGATTGTTATGAAGCCACAAATTGTCACGCGTAACCATTTTCATTTCACTTCATTAACATGCTGATAATTTGATATGTATTCATCTTGGAATTTAATATTAAAACAATATGTGCTTACAGCAACAAATAAAAAATAAAAAAATAGAAGTCAAAAATATTTTAAACATTACAATTGTGGAAGCTATAATTCTCCCAAAAACAAAGTAACAGCCTACTAAGGGTTTAAGAAAACCATGTTGACAAAATTTTTCTCAAGAGATCTCATCATTTCTACTTTTAAATGAACACATAAAACTAATCATTTTATGTTTTAAGTCTACATACAGATCTAGCCCAATTTCTATTCTTCTAAAAGGCAGGCATGTTCATTTAAACCCTCAAATGAACAACTGTGGCTGTAGTATGAAAAAAATATTGCAAGGATTTAAGGAGAGTTAGTAGTTGTGCAAGTTTTACAGCCCCACTAAGTTATTAGTAAGAAAGTTACAGATCTGGACAACCATAATCAAACTTAAGTCATACAACATATAACAACAAGCAGATTCAATCATGACATATAAGCCCTGTAGAACAGATTGCCCTTATCAGCTTGATGTATTTATATGATTATTTGTCCAAAAGTATTAAAACTACTCTAGAGACTCATGAAGAAGACATTTAGAGAAAAGGGAGTAAATGATAATTACCTGTGGATCGGCAAGGCGAGATGGATCTGGATAAAGGTAGAACTTTATGCCATCAGAGGCTCCAGGTAATGTGATTCCCCGGATGAGCAACACAGCAAGCATCAAATAAGGAAAAGTAGCAGTAAAGTAAACCACCTGTGGAAAAAAAAATATGAGAGGATTTCTTTAAGGACAAAGTAGTTATTTCCATGCATAAAAATGTTTTTTCCGCCTTCATATTAGGAAGAAAATACCTTAAAGTTTCAACACATTTCTTTTACTGTACTTTTTTTTTTTGCAACACGGCTCAGTAAGTGCTGTTTGCCATAAACCACAGAGAGGAGGAAAACAGTGAGTATGAGTGAGGGGAGTGATTGTTGTAAGTACTGTACAGTAGGTCTGAGGAAGACATTTTTTGGGTGTTTGAACAGTCGATTTTAATCTGCTCTTTTTGGAGTCAAAAGATATAAAAATTAATAAACAACCCTACATTTAGATTTTAACACTTACAGTATTAAAATGTTATAATCTAAAATACTAATGTCTTTCTATGTATAATATAATAAAATATCCTACCTTTCCCGTAGACTTGACTCCTTTCCACACACAGAAGTAACAGATGATCCAAGACAATAGCAGACAGAGAGCCAACTCCCATCTAATACTGCCCAATTCTTCAATGCTGCCTGTGATGTTTAAAATTCGCCTCCTGCAAATAAATCACATCTGTCATTTAATCAAGTTCTGCACATAGAACTTAGACAGTACCCTTTTTCTATACTCACTCCCAAAACTCTCTCACTGGTGAAGTTGCATTTTCAGGAATAGTCATGTTGAAGTAATCCGATTTTTGATCAAACTCCACACAGTTTTCTGAAAAATACAGAATTAATGAATAAATGTATGTTCCAGTAAATGTCAAAAAAACAACAAGCTATTAAACTTATGGATAACTATTAATGTAATTTATATCTAATGTATATAATTCATTCGTAGAGACCCATGAATGATGCCAAATACAAAACATAAGATTAAAGTAAAAATAAAAGAAATGCAACAGAAAAACACTGCAAATGAAAAAAATTTCCAATCATCACAAAATTGACAGTGGAAAAATATAATATGGGGGGGATGGCTGCCTGGGATTAGGCTCTACTTTGGTTAGTGCAGCTCTCTCCATTATGGTTGTTGTTTCTGCTTGGTACCTATATATGAATATTTATCGAACATGATTTAGGGAATTAAGGGCCGGATTTATCAAGATCCAATTTTGCGTGCAGTAATTTGCGCTCGCAAACTGGAATTTTGCGCGAGGGGCTGAACCATGGTTTGCGGGTGATTTAACAAGAGTGATTGCGTAACTGGTGGAAGGTGCAAAACTGTTGGAGACGCCCTATTTAAATGATGGTTTTGCGCGTTTTGTGGTTTGCGGCAAAGTAGTTTGTAGTCTGTACAAACTAGTGCATTAAGCAATTTAAATATTACAGTGACCCCCAACAAAAAAAAAAAAAGTAAATATATATATATATATATATTTATAAATTGGCAACCTTTATTCCCTAAGGTGGTATGTGCTGCAGTAAAAAACAAAAAAAAAAAAAAAAACAGGTGTTTTGTATTGGCCTGTGACTGTGGATGAGATCCCCGCAGCATTTGGCACGTTGCTCCACAGGCGCAGGGGGAGAACCCCGACCCCGTCGGACAGCACTTCTGAAAAAACGAGATTGGGAGATCCCAGCTCTCGCTCCAACCGTACGCTGGAATGACCCAGATGCAAAAAAGTGCAATGTTGCAAGGAGTTTTGTGATATCTGGTATTGCGTGGGTCCTCCTTGTGCCTGGCTCCAAATCCATTCGGAGTTCCCCCAACAGCTCCAAAATGGCAATGCTGGATAAACGATATGTTTTGATGATCGTTTCCTCGTTCATTGCAAAAATATTCACACGGAGTGAAAAAATGCGTTCTCTGCGTCTCCTTGCTTTATTTCCATGTCTCCTTCTTGCGACAATAACTGCTGCCATGTGTGCGCAATTACGCATACAGACCATTTGCACCTTCTTTTGAAACGTGTTAAATATAGAGTCAGATACCGTTAGCAAAATTGCGTTCAAGTTTGATAAATCACTTTGCGAGTGCTAAATTAATATATTTACATGTTCTCCTCCCACAAGACGCACTTTAGCGTGTAAACGCCCCATATTGCATATTCATTGCAGAAAAAGTACTAAATGGATCAGAGGCGCTATTTAGCACGTTTTAAAGACCAAATGCTTTTAGCACGCTGTTGATAGATCAGTTTGTACATTTTTTAGCGTGCGCAGTGAAATAGCTCACGTTTTAATACACGCAAACCTTTGATAGATCCGGCCCTAAATCGTATACAATGGGGAAAGGGGATAAGAATGAATTGAGAGAGAAAGAGATAGAGGGAGTAGAGAGGATAGAAAAGAGAGAAAACAAAACAGCAAAAAAAGCAAAGCAGAAGATGTACACTCTTAAAAGCCTGCTTTCATATCTTCTGTGAGATGAGAGGGAAAGAAAACAGATAACAAAGCGCCCGCAAAAACAAAACAAATGGCATCCAAGGTAAAACATATACAGTACAGGGTTGTATATATCTGTAAATGCTATACCTGTATGCTATCTGCAGCTTAGTATATAGTATTAGTGTGTATCCGTGAACACCTGGAACCAAACACTTGTGGTATTTATGCATGAGCATGCTCATGTCTGAAGAAGATTCTTTATAAGTATGCTCAATAGCAGGTGTGAGCGGGCCAAGACTCACCCCGCAGGGCCCAGGACAGACAGAGGCAATGAGAGCCCCAGATATAAAGTATAAAGGGTAGTGGTCTGCTTCCAGTGCTGCACCTGAAGGGGTGTGTGGTAGGGTACACCCTGGGCAGGTTGCAAGTCCATCACAAGGAATTCAAACAGAGGAGCAACATGAAAACTCCTGCCTGTTTGTTTGTATTTTTAAGCATCATTAAACGGCTTTCATCCTTTACATAAATCATTAGAGGCCTAAAAATTCCATTTAAGTTCAATTCAGTTCAGTTTATTTATATAGCGCCAATTGACAACATCTGTCATGTCAAGGCACTTTACAGAGACAATTAAACCGTATCACAGAGTCAGATTGGTTCAAAGTTTTATATCTATTGATTCAACGACAATCCCTCCCCAAATGAAAGATGCTCTTGCACCTAACTCTAATAGATAAGTATTATTCTGTCTATCAGCATAGTTTAGCTGTAGGCCACAAGTTAGAGAAAAACTCTTCATAATAAAGCATCTAGTGTTGTTCTTTGTTCCTTATTCCCCATGACATGCTGTAGACCTACCTGTGTTCCAGCTGTTTCGACAGGTAGCCCATGGAAGTTCAGAGTTGAAAGAAGAGAAGAGATACAGGAATGCCCAGGCTAGTATCACTATATAATAGATACTGGAGTACAAAACAACCACTTGACAGCCATAACCCATCCCTGAAAAAGTAAGAAGAAAACATTACAGATCAGTAAAGATAATGTAGTGGGTTTACTGAACAGATAAAATTAGTTTGAATCTTAAGATTGAAACCAAATTTCAGGCTTAGGGCCGGATTTATCAAGATCCAATTTTGCGTGCAGTAATTTGCGCTCGCAAACTGGAATTTTGCACGAGGGGCTGAACCATGGTTTGCGGGTGATTTAACAAGAGCGATTGCGTAACTGGTGGCAGCAGAAAAACTGTTGGAGACGCCCTATTTAAATGATGGTTTTGCGCGTTTTGTGGTTTGCGGTAAAGTAGTTTGTAGTTTGTGCAAACTAGTGCATTAAGAAATTTTAATCTTACAGTGACACCCCCACCCCCTCCAATATATATATATATATATATATATATATATATATATATATATATATATATATATATATATATATATATATATATATATATATATATATATATATATATATATATATATATATATATATGTATAAACTTTGGCAACCTTTCTTCCCTAAGGTGGTATGTGGCTGAATTTCTACTTCACTGCAGTAAAAAAAAAGACAAAAAAACAAAAAAAACAGGTGTTTTGTATTGGCCTGCAGAAAAATGCACATACCAAATGGCTCACAAGAAGTGACTGTGGATACGATGACTGCGCGTACGCATCCCCGCAGCATTGGCATGTTGCTCCACAGGCGCAAGGGGCAGGTCGGGGTTCTCTTGTAGGGCGTCAGGGCGACATGGCATTTAGAACGTCGGACAGCACTTCTGAAAAACGAGATTGGGAGATCCCAGATGCAAAAAAGTGCAATGTTGCAAGGAGTTTTGTGATATCTGGTATTGCGTGGGTCCTCCTTGTGGCTGGCTCCAAATCCATTCGGAGTTCCCCCAACAGCTCCAAAATGGCAATGCTGGATAAACGATATGTTTTGATGATCGTTTCCTCGTTCATTCCAAAAATATTCACACGGAGTGAAAAAATACGTTCTCTGCGTCTCCTTGCTTTATTTCGATGTCTCCTTCTTGCGACAATAACCGCTGCCATGTGTGCGCAATTACGCATACAGACCATTTGCACCTTCTTTTGAAACGTGTTAAATATAGAGTCAGATACCGTTAGCAAAATTGCTTTCAGGTTTAATAAATCACTTTGTGAATGCTAAATTAATATATTTACATGTTCTCCTCCCACAAGACGCACTTTTGCGTGTAAACGTCCCATATTGCATATTCATTGCAGAAAAAGTACTAAATGGATAAGAGGCGCTATTTAGCACGTTTTAAAGACCAAATCCTTTTAGCACGCTGTTGATAGATCAGTTTGTACATTTTTTAGTGTGCGCAGTGAAATAGCTCACGTTTTTATACACGCAAACCTTTGATTGATCCGGCCCATAATGTTTAAAATTGACTATTTATTATATAATATGCAGTATTTTTTGCCAAATTACCAAATTTTGTCTTTGTCTGTCAGCTCTCAAATATGATGCAGCAACGTGTCCAAGCATTGTCAAATTTGTAAGATAAGCTAAAAGTAGCATTAGCCATGGATAGTGCGAAAAACAACTGACAAGGTATCCTATTATAAATAAATATTTTTTGCCTTCTTCAGTTTTTGTTGCTATTTAAAATTCCCAATTAAGTGTTCCATTGGAAAGATTTGTATTTGAACTCATAAGAAATTGCAAAATAGATACATATTTTATTTATATTTTATTTATATTATAATTCTCATGGTTAGTTCGCTTATGTTTATTTGTTCTAAGTCAAAATATTTTATAGAATATTGATAAACAATTGAATTCAACTAACTTTACTCATGAAGCACCAATTCACAAGTCATCATCCCAAGGCACTTATAGAGACAATTGAACCATACCATTGACAAACTGGTTAAAAGCTTTCTGAGGAATAATATCTCATTATATTTGAATATGCTGAGTAGCAAAATAAAAAGTAGGAAAATACAGATAAAAATCAGAAAATATATATAGAATAGAATATCCTTACATTGTACATAGGGCCGGATTTATCAAAGGTTTGCGTGTATTAAAACGTGAGCTATTTCACTGCGCACGCAAAAAAATGTACAAACTGATCTATCAACAGCGTGCTAAAAGGATTTGGTCTTTAAAACGTGCTAAATAGCGTCTCTTATCCATTTAGTACTTTTTCTGCAATGAATATTCAATATAGGGCGTTTACACGCAAAAGTGCGTCTTGTGGGAGGATAACATGTAAATATATTAATTTAGCACTCGCAAAGTGATTTATCAAACCTGAAAGCAATTTTGCTAACGGTATCTGACTCTATATTTAACACGTTTCAAAAGAAGGTGCAAATGGTCTGTATGCGTAATTGCGCACACATGGCAGCGGTTATTGTCGCAAGAAGGAGAAATCGAAATGAAGCAAGGAGACGCAGAGAACGCATTTTTTCACTCCGTGTGAATATTTTTGGAATGAACGAGGAAACGATCATCAAAACATATCGTTTATCCATCATTGCCATTTTGGAGCTGTTGGGGGAACTCCGAATGGATTTGGAGCCAGGCACAAGGAGGACCCACGCAATACCAGATATCACGAAACTCCTTGCAACATTGCACTTTTTTGCATCTGGGATCTCCCAATCTCGTTTTTCAGAAGTGCTGTCCGACGTTCTAAATGCCATGTCGCCCTGACGCCCTACCGGAGAACCCCGACACCCTGCGCCTGTGGAGCAACATGCCAATGCAGTCATCTTATCCACAGTCACTTCTTGTGAGCCATTTGGTATGTGCATTTTTCTACAGGCCGATAAAAAACACCTGTTTTATTTTTGTTTGTGTGTTTTTTTCTTACTGCGGTGAAGTAGAAATTCAGCCACATACCACCTTAGGGAATAAAGGTTGCCAAAGTTTATATATATATATATATATTTCTTTTTTTGGAGGGGGTGGTGTCACTGTAAGATTAAAATTTCTTAATGCACTAGTTTGCACAAACTACAAACTACTTTGCCGCAAACCACAAAACGCGCAAAACCATCATTTAAATAGGGCGTCTCCAACAGTTTTGCGCCTGCCACCAGTTACGCAATCGCTCTTGTTAAATCACCCGCAAACCATGGTTCAGCCCCTCGCGCAAAATTCCACTTTGCGAGCGCAAATTACTGCACGCAAAATTGGATCTTGATAAATCCGGCCCATAATCATTGCACAGACGAAAAAGTCACAAATAAAAGAACTCTGTAAATTAAGTGAAGTTTAATAATTTTACCCTCAAAAAGTGGGCAAATTTTCTTCCAACAGGTGATTGATCCCTGCTTTGTGTACTGGCCAATGGATGTTTCCAGCAAAAACAAGGGGATGCCACAGGAGAAAAGGAAAAGTATGTATGGGATAAAGAATACCCCTGGAAAACAAAACAAATTGTTAAAATTGTTTAAACAGGTAAGCATTTTTTATCTTAGTTTTCCACTTGAGGCAGCTTCTAAATATTATCTATAAATGTTAATACATTTTTCCTTTGACATTGATTTTCACATGGTGTATAGTTTATCATTCTCATAAATGATTTTTTATTTACAAATGCACTCACCTCCTCCATTTTTGTAGCAAAGGTAAGGAAACCGCCACACATTTCCCAGCCCTATAATCTGTCCTGCAACAGCCAAGAGAAACTCTATTTTGCTGGACCACTGTCCTCTCAGGGCCGTGGGATGCTCAGTTCCCTCATCTAGTCTAAACTTGACCTCTGTGCCATGGGCGTTATCCATTGTACTGTGAAGAGAGAAAGCAGTACTTCTAAGTTTGGAGATTTATGGTATGGTAACTTTGTTTAAATGTCACCTATCATGAATGTTATGCACCACCCCAAAAAACAAACAGTAAAGAAGTACCTAAGACCTGAGAGCTTTTCAACACAGTATGCTAATATCTATTATCAGCACAGCGTGAGCGGTCTTTCTGCATGAGGTTAACAGAGGGCAATTCTTTTAATCAATGTTGCTTTTGTGTTGCTGCTTTAGTTTCACAGTGGGAGCGGCAAGTAGACTGGAAAATCTGTGTCGGGCAACATTACTTTCCAAGGCTTCAGATCCTGACAAGCTGAGAACAAAATTCCTGAAGTGTGGAGTTGGTAATTAAGGGACCTGAAGGAGAACTGTGAAGCTAGGGATGGATTTCTGTTAGCAACACCGGAGCATGGATAGAGCATACACATCTACCACAGCAATATAAAAAAATAAATAATAAAGCTTGTTTTAATAAACAAATGGCATTGCAATGTTTTTATATGTAGATGGTGACAATGAATATTAGGGAGAAAATGGTAAGAAAACCTTTTGAGAGGCAGATTTGATATTTTACCATAAAGAGAAGACATTGGTTCCTAATGGTACAACAGACGTCTCACCTTATCATTCAATCACAACTTCTAGGTTTTTAGACATGACAATATACACATTTCCCCAGCATCTTTAAACAGTTACTTATTTAAAACTAAATAACTTGTTTTAGCTTATTAAATTAGTGTAATGTATTTTTATGCAAAGTTATAATCTTATTTGTGCGATTACTAAACCAGCAGAGTAGTGAGGTAGAAAGGTTGAAAGAGATTGCATCTGGCAGATTTTGACAAGGGTTCTCAGGGCAGTATGTTAATGGAAGATGGCGGAAATAGTCTTAAAAAAACTGTAAGTCCCCCCAAATGTTCTTGTCCCTATTTCGCATTTCAGTTCAACAGGGATTATATTGTATTTTGCGCAACATTGACAGAAAATTTGGGTGTACATTGGAGCTTATTGATCAAGATGAAAATGTATGCTCAGCTTTAAACGAAGCTTGAATTTTTATTTTTATTTTGCTGACTTTTTATGAGAATTAGCATACGTTACATTTTAAATTCCCTAATCTTTGATTAATTACATTGGTTGAAACATTTGAAATTGGTTGTTTGGCTGTGTCTGAGATGGCAAGGGGTAGATGGCTTAAATATCAGAGGTATGATCTCAGCCAGAAAGCACTGTTGTTGCTGAACAAGTTAAGGCAAGAACAGGAACAGACAAGTGCATTCACATTGTGACTGAAATTGGCCAGTAGGCAGGAAACTCTGTCAAATAAAAAAAGGATAGCAGGGTATGATGATTTTATTTCATATCATAGAAAATAATGATAAAAAAATTAAGCATTGGAACAATTCATTTTTTGAATAAAATATTACCGTATAAGAGAAATTAAAATATTATACAAAAGAGTTGTGTAAAAAAAAAAAATAAAACAAACTGCATTAACGGTAACAAAGTTACAATCATGACTTTTCAATTAAATAAACTATTAAATGTTGAACCCTCTGAAGCTTTTGTTGAGTTGGAAAATCCACTCTATGATTTAGCATCACAGAGTCACCAAATAGGCCTTTGTTCTGTTTGGAAAGTAGTAAAAAATTATTCATTTTATGATTTATTATATTGCACTACAGCTTTAAATTACATAATGGATTGTCTGTCTCTGGATTTCAAATTTAATAGTTGTGGTTTTCAACGGTGGGATGTTCCCCAAACTATGGTCTTGGCAATAAGTTTCCATATTCTGTGTGTGTGTGTGTGTGTGTGTGTGAGTCCGCTACAAGTACTTTAGTTTAAACAAGCAGTCTAAAAAATGACTGTTAGTTTAGTTAGTGTCTAAATTCCCTTAGATGTGAATGTGTGTGCATATATATGTGGCTCTGTTGGGGAAAATTACAGTCTAGTGCAGTGATTCCCAACCGGCAGGGTATTCGTACCCCTAGTGGTCCGCAAGTGCATTGCAAGGGGTACATGAAAATATTTTATTTCATAGGTAGTAAAATAAAATAGTGCTGGGATTAATGCTCTCTGATGACCCAATTGAAAAATTAAACAAACTTTTATTTAACAAAAAAGTACATTTTTATTATATGTTTGAGTTCACCTTCAGCTTTGGCAAAAATCCAAACAAGCAAAAGAACAGACTGGATGTAGAGAACAGGCTGGAATCAGCTGTTTTTCACTCTGAGCTATCAGAGCTCATCAAAGCAGCTTGGGTGTTTTAATGAAAACAAACTAAAACTAAATTATAAATGCAGGTTTATAATATGATTTTATTTGGTATTTTGATCCCCTGCTAACTTCCAGGCAACATATTTATGTTGTTCTATTTGCAATTGAAAATGCCAAAGAATTAATAAAAGATCAAGCAAAATAGTTTTAAATTTATAACCAGTTATTGTAGGTTTCACTTTTGGACAATCAACAATACTTTTGACTGAGAGGGGGCCTTTGGGTAAGAAAAAATATTCTAAACACACCCATGAGCTGGTGGCAGTTTTCCTGTTTTTCTTTTTTTTGTTACAACTTGCTGCATGTCAGAACAAGTTGACTAATATTAAGAAATATCCTTAATCCGTGTGGTTGTCCTTGCTCTGCATAAAATTCCTTTTTTTTTATCTTTTCTTTAGTGTCACAGTTCACTTAACAGAGATAATGCATATTTAGAAAGATTGCCTTGTAGGAATCAGAGTAAGCAAACCTCAATAAGCGAGAAACTAATGAGACAGAGAGAAGAGAAATAGATAAAACATGTCATACTGTTAATGTTAATCCTAAAAACCTTTTCATACTGGTTTGGTTTTTCCAAAAAAAAAAAATATATAATCAAAATATTTGTTATTTGGAAATTTAAAAAGATGACAAAATATTGTTGTCTTGATGGGACTTTTATGTGTTTGCTATATCGAACTTTGTGTTGTAATTTTATTTTTTTTTTTCAAGAAAAATTCCTGCCTGTATTACAGACACTCTATCTTTAGCAACAATGGTAGAGTTTGCTAGATTTTAATGATTACATTGCTGTCAAATAAATAAAAAACAAACAAAAAAGATCAGAATGAAGAGACAGCCAGTTTCTACTCCAGAGCTATATAAAGCAATTCATCACCAGGAGACAGAGGTTTAATTTTGGCATGATTATTGTTAAAATTCACCAAAATACTACCTAATGTCCTACACAATAAAGCTAAGTTTATAACATATTTCACTCATATGGAGGTATTATTGCTTTATTTCCAAGACCCTCAACATATTTTCAACATTACGTAACAATTTTCCAAACTTTGCACATTCTACTTAATTCTACAACACTAGAAAAGAGTTTGGAACCTATAACACATGGCAACCCACCTAAACTAAAGTAGTCCTTTTAACTTTGGAGAGATTCACAGCTAGGCAGGAGAGTTCGTCTACACAATGACCGTTAATAGTGCACTCCACAAATATTTCCTTTAAATAAGAGTGGCAAAAAGAAAGCCATTACTGAAAGAAAAATCCCATTTAAAGCTTACTAAAAAAAACATGTTGGGGACATGTAGAAGAGGATGTTCTGGTCAGATGAGACCAAAATTTTAACTTTGAGCCTACATGTCGAATGCTTTCATGGTGCCATCAGAGCATCAACCCCAGCGTGAAACATGGTGGTGGTAAAAATAATTGTTACCACCACCGTTATTAATAATTAACAGCTTCCATAGCTGTTAACATCATGGGAAGAGGAGAGGAGCTAAACGCTGGAGTAAATAATCTTAGAGGCTGTAAAAGACTAATTGGGATAAAGTTCACTGTTCAGCAGTAAAACAAACCTGGGCAAAAATCCAGAGCAACATTGCAATGATTTAGATATAACCATAGTCATAACTAAGAATGGCCCAGTTAAGGTCCAAGTCTAAATCAAAACAACAACTGTTGCCAAAACTTGAAAATTCCTCCTCTCTTATGTTCTCAATGCAATCCGACTAAGCTTGAACAATGATGTAAAGAAGGGCCACAGATTTCAGTCTTTAGATGTTAAAGCTTGAACAGTATTTGTATAACTGTGAAAAGTTGGCTAGCAACTACAGTAAGTGTTTATGTCAAATTTTGACTAAGTGAAAAAAACATAGTTAAAAGATTCTTCATGTATTAGTTTTATTTGATGTAATGCAGTTGGATTTTAGGAGGCAATGCTGTGGCTTTATTCAAACTTCAAAATTCAATCAGTTTGTGCTTGAAATTTGCATCTGAGGCTGCAGTTTGGATGCCTTAAAAACTGGCTAATTCATCCATCTTGGAATGTTTAATGTGTTGTCCCCTTAGAACCTAGAAATAAAGTTGTTTTTTTTCAAAGTTTGTTTGATTTACAGAAAATGCCTTCAGCTTTAAAGGGGTATCATTTTGTTCATTGTAAACAAATAATCCACCAAACATCAGGCGTCTAATGGATGTAAAGATCGTGTCCAATTGGATCCATTGACTGAAGACCTATGGTTACTGTCTACACATCGTGCAACTCAGGTGAATATTTGAACATCATTCTTCTGATTTTTGGATGGAATTCATAAATGTGTCCCATACAGGTGAAGATATTTCATTTTGAAGAAAGGCTAAAAAATGCATTGTCTGGTGTTTCACTCTACACTTTCAAAGGGCCAAAATTATATATGCAAAAGGGACCTACAAAGAGAAATTTACCTCTGCATTTAGCCCATCCCCTTGGGGAGCAGTGGGCTGCCATCGTGGGGCGCCCGTGGAGCAATCAGGGGTTAAGGGTTTTGCTCAGAGACCCAGAGCAGCAGCATTACCGTTTACCCCCATAAAATAAATTCTTTGAAATTGCCTTTCGAAGAACATTATATAAGAGTTCCTTTGAACAAATCTATATGAGCTTGTCACATCATGCCCTGAGAATGTAATCATCCTTAGGGTAAACATGTTCCAGCTCTATAATATTTGACTGAGTCCAGCTGCCTCAGCAGAGACTCAGAAAGCTAATTTCAGAGGAAGATTAAGCTAATTTCACCCACTTTTATCAAGGATCTCATTCTGTTCACAAGAACAGAATGAGATCATAAGTATAACCACAGATTCTTAATTAATTGAATTAAGGTCTGAACTTTCACATCGCCATTCCAACACAACATTTAGATGTGTCCCCTTAAAACTGAAGTAATCTTTAGCTGTATGCTCAGGTCATTGCTCCGGTGGAAGGTGTACCTCCACCCTATTCCAAAATCACTGGCAGATATACAGATTTTGCACTTTGATATTCACGTACTGCACACCATCCAGCTTTTTCAAAATCAAAGCAGTTTCACAGTACCAGCTGCTGAAAAACAACCGTTAACATCATGTGGCCAGCACACGTGTTTTATTGTGGGTAGGGTTTTCTTCAAGAAAGGGGATGTGTTGGACTTGTGTCAGACAGAGCATTTATCTCGGTGGCAGAAAAGTCGTATAACCTGCCGGAGCACATTTGTCCGTTAATTTTGCTAGTTATTCCTTATCCTTTTAACAAACTGAAAACATGGCTTCTTATTTTAATTACAAATTTTTAAAAAAAATTTTGTGGCCACTCTTCCATAAAGTCTACATCTACTGTTTGGAGTCTAGATTTCATTGTGTTCCTATGGACAGATAGTCAAGTATCTGTTGAGGAACTATGTAACTCTTTAAGGGTAACCCTTTGGTTTCTGAGCTGCCTCGCTGATTAATGACCTCCTTCCTCATCTGTTAGTTTTGATCTTAACAACTTTGTTCCTGATTTGAATGGAGAGCCCCTCAGTCCTCATAGGGTGATACCTCCTGCTTAGTGGTATCAGAGCTTCTCCTGTCGGAAAAGTTATGCTGGCTCCACACAGGTGGACTTTATTTAACTTATTATGATTTTTGAAGGTAATTGGTTGCACCAGACCTTTTTAGGAGCTTCATAGTAAAGGCCATGCATGATTTTCTCCTTTCACTTTCATATAGTATTTCCTGCAAATCCAACACATAAAATAAGATTAAAAAATATTTGAATTACAGACTGAAAGTAAGAAAATGTGCAAAAAGCAAAGGGGGAGTGGGGGAGCTGGATACCAATGCATATTTCATGCTTTTACAGACACTAGCTTCTCAGCTGGGAATGTTGAATACGTCGCTTTTGTGTACATAACAGGCTCTGGACAGAGACTGTGCTGGCAGCAAGCAGATGAATTCCTTTAAAATATTTCTCTCTAAAGCTGTAGGACTTAAAAAAGGGGGGGATCAGATGGAGAAAGCAGAATGCTGCTGGGTTTGTGAGCATGTGGAAAGAAAAAAATTAATTATGTCTTACATATAGCACAATGAATATATAATCTCCAAAAACTTTGTACAAGCTATTTGTTTAATATTTATCATGTAAGAGGTGTTTTGGACTTGTTTATTACAACATAATAAGCCTGGCTGGTTGCACTGACTGAGTAAATCTAAACAGGGACAGCCTGCTTCTGTAATGAGGATGTTCTTGAGACTAACTAATCACAACAATAAAACCATACTTCCCAATAACAACTAAACCTTTCCCAAATCAAATATTGGCATCAAAGGAATACATGAGTTTGTATACTTTTTGTGGCTAGAGTAGTGTTACACTAAACAAGGGAACTAACTGCCTCAGTGCACCATAACCGGTTCACCTTTGCCCTACATAGTACAACCTTCAAGCCTAACTATAGCTTTAGTCTGCAAGGGTAACAGCTATTTATTAATTTTTCTGGAAATGTAATGACAGAAATAAGCCTTTAACATGAACAAATATGAACATCATGCCAAGACATGAAGGAAAAAGGAGGAATACCTTACAAAGATGCCACTTTAGCTTTGTATACATCCATTCCAAGAGACTTCATCTGGTGTCTTCAGAGGAAAGTACATGTGCAGAACCTCCAGCCTCACCAGGACACACTTTATACACAGAGCCAACCATGAGGGAGTGTATAAGGAGGTCTCAGAAAGAGAGCTGAGTGGTGTGACAAAGCAACAGAGCAGAAAGGACCAAGGGAAGGGAGTTGGGGGGTTGGACTGTTTCTGAATGAGCTAGTTAAGGCGGGGACTGTTCAAGCAGCCACATGGAAATGGTAAAGTAGGAGGGCACTCACACTTTACCCATTCAGCTGGATACTTGCCTTATACTGTAGGCTGTCTGTGTCCACCATTATGCCTCTGAGCAAATGTCTCACAGATTTAGCCTTGTTCATGTAAAGCCTGCACAAAAGTTTTAGTTTTTTTTTAACATGTAGGAACTTCAATATATACGTTAGATGCACTTTTCCATTAAAAAATAAAGTCATTGTTAAAAAGCTCTTCAGATGTTTACTGAACTGTCCAATACATGTAAATGTTCTATAAACATTTCTATATGTATGATAGTTTCAGTTTAGTTTGCATTGGCTTGCAATTCTGTTCATGTCTCTTGCAATTCAAAACCAAATACTTTAATATACTTTTGGGGGATTTAATATGAAGGACTGAGACAAAAATAGTGCATGGTTTCTGATGAACTTTGTAATAAAACACATTACAGTTTTGTACTCAGAGTTAAAAGAACTTCCATTCCCTTGAAACTTGCTTTCAGTGTTTATTTTCTGGTTTGAATACTGTAGACTAAAAACCAAGCAAATAAATAACATAAAAAGGAGCCACAAAAACATGTTTATACAAAAATATATACATATGATAAAAATATGTCAAATAAGTATCTGTTTTTAAGATTCAAGTTAAACATCAAAGTAAACCGGATGTGAAATTAATAAAAAAACCCAAAAGAAACAAAACAAATGTCAACAAAAAAAGTGAAGGAAAACTAAACCAAATTAAGCTTAGTCTTCCCTAATTGACTGTGGTAAAATTACTGTTTTTATTTTTTATGTTGAGGCTAACTGTCTGGTTAGATGCTTTCTTTGTGAGCACACCACAAAGCTGTAAAAAGGCAAAGCTAATCTTTGTACACCCTCTAGTGGTCAAAAATCTACCATACAGCTTAAAAGACAATTAGGGCAAAACTCAGATGATTAAATCCACTACTTAGATCTAGAACATTTTACATAAAATATTTTCCTCAAAATATTAAGTTTATCATTAAAGCAGAGGAAATGTTTGTGTCCTGTGAAACCAACAGAGTTTGGGGTTTGAATGCAAGAAAAACGTTGTGTTTACAGCTTTCCTGCTTTATTGGGATTCAGCAGAGCTATAAAAATGATCATACCGTTTCCAAATTCTTCTACTCTTCTGGTGATTAGTTAGACATTTGTCAGAACATCTGAAAAGGTTTTAAAAGTTGAAAAAGACAATATCCAACTCAACCTGACATTACAGTACTGTATGTGACAAGTCAACTGTCCCCTAACCTCAAAAACTTGATGTGCAAAATAAAAAAAAATAAAAAAAATTCACCAATGGCCGCAACATCTTGCATCAAGCATGATGATAAGTGGTGTTTTTGGTGATTCAAACAGTTATTACAGATAGCACACTAGAATAAGTATCTAAGTTGTTTTTATTGTAAAGTAGTGCTTTTTCATCATATTATTACTCAAATAAAATTAAAAAGTATCCTTTTGAGAAATTACTTAAGAGAAAATAAATTATTTAGTAAAATGTGTATTCAATCAGTGTATTGATTAACTGATCTATTTACTACCCATGATCATAACAACTGATTTAACAGTTTTAGAGTAATAAACTTGTCAAATCAGTAGTTACATTATGTAGAATAGGTTAAATTACAGTATACTGTTTATTACATTTTCACTTAACCTCCAAAGGACACAGCAGGCTCAGTAGATCAAAAAAATACATTTCAACCCTAAGCCTTGAGTACAAAAAGAAGAAAGTGTGTCTCTCATTGGTGCATTTTGTTTAGAACAAGCTTGTTTACATAAAATGCCTCACAATTTGGGAGGAATTTTACTCAAGTATGAGTAAAGAGTAGAGTGCTTTAAAACTACTCCATTGACTACTTACCTCTTGCTTTATTGTACTAAACATTGATCAGAAAAAAAAAATGCAGCAGCATCATTTGCTGCAGGACTGTCTAGGCTAGGAAAAAGAAAAAAATCAAAGTGGGATGACCCTCCCAGGTGCTTACTGATTAACTAATAATCTAAGTAAGAAAAGAAGGCGCAACAAGAATACATTAAAATCTACACCATGTAACTGTAGAAATTAGTTGGCACAAAAAAATTGAAATATTTTAGCCGTACTCTTCTTTGTATAGGGATGTAATTTTTGGGGGGGTCATGTTACAGCTGTTAAATTTATTGTGTGTTGATTTTGATTGGACCAATCTGATTCTGTGGTGGATTTTCTGGTGTATAATACACAGAAAAATTGCTTCAGAGTCTTCTGGTTGAGAAGATAATTCTCATTTATGTCAATTTAAGCAAGATATCCATCACTAAAAGCTGCAAAGCAGCCTCAGAACATCTTGATATCACAGCTATCTTAGACATGGTTTGATGAAATGCCTTGTTAATTTTAAATGAACAAGGCATTTGCTGAAATATGCTGTAAAATTAATAATTTTACAGCATATTCCAGATAAATTCTAGAAACTTTTTTACCTGATTTTAGTCCATAGTATATTTAGTATATCCAGATGCTTTTTTGGAAAATATCAAAGGAACATTTGTGTTATTTTTGTCAGCAGTATTTCTGGCTGTTATGTCTCCCGCTGATTCTATTTCAGCTTAGTCTCTTCTATATATTTAAACAGTGATCTTATTTTAGCTAAAAGGAAGATTCTGTGCCTCAGACCTAGATCAGAGTCCTTCTGTTACCTCCTAAATGATTCATCACTGTGTTAGAGCATAGAATAACTTTTACTGTGCAAATATATGTGCTATAATTAAAGGTTTTAAATAATTATTATACCTAAGTCTTTCTTCCGCTTTTGTGTTTACAAAACAGTTATGAACATCTATATAAACGCATCTAGGTTAAGCGTAGAGAATTGATTTATAGTTTTATAACCAGCTTTGTTATCTGTGAGCCTTTTATCAGCAATACAACATCCAGAAAACCAAGCTTGAGTTTTTACAGCTGCCACTGGCAGATGAAATAAAGCAGGGAGGCATCATGTTGCACTTTGTCCCAATTATTTTAATAGACCACTTGTAATGTCACTAAAAATAAAGCTTAATTTTGTTCATCAGTTTCTATCCCCCTGAAAAAACTGGGCTTCAGTTTTACATTACTAACTTAATGGTTTACTGTTCATTGACCGCTGAACAAAGTCCCAGTTTTTCCTATACTGTATAATTGAGCTGAAGTGTATTCTGACAACATTTTAACCCATCAGCTTGTCAAGATCTAATGTTTGAGGTTTGAACATGCTGCTTTATTAACATAACTATGTAAAAATGTATAAATGAAAAAACAGGTCTAAGCGGAAGACCTGTTTGAACTTATTTATAGCTAAGAATAAATACATAACTGGAACAAATTGTACTTTAGAGCCTTAGCAGAAAGCCTTAGCATGTAATCAAAGTGTAATTTTACCCTCTACTTTGAGCCTAGCCCGCCCACTGTATTACTACATATAAAGAAAAAAAAAAGACAGGAGAGAGGACAACTTGCTGATAGCATGCACAGTCCTGAGATTGAAGGGCATAAAGGTGATTCACATACTTTCATCAATAAAATGGACTAAATGACAATCACAAGGCCCGCCGTATGGTTTTAACAAGGAACCTTTCACCATATAAGGATAAATAGAAGAAGACTGTGTTGAGAGAAAAGACCATGGCAGAGCAAGCCTGTGTCTAAAGCTTGAGTTTTAGACCATTTCTGAGGCTCTTAAGAAAGTGGCAAGGTCAAACTGAATACTATGGCCAAAAAAGAACTAATAGGACCTAATAAGTATTTTGGTGGTCAACTGAGCTGCTATTAGAGAGAGGGGGATTTATCAGTATCAAAAGCTTTTTTTTTTCAATCCCACAATTTTACAATTCTAGTAAAAATTGACACCTTGAGTTAACTGTTTTATTTTCTTATAATTAAAATAAGTTGAACTATGTACAGTTAGAGCGAGAGATTTAATTTTCGTGGGAGTGGTGCAAAGAAGAAACCTTTGCTCTCTAAGAAAATTGAAGGTTAGACGAAGGTCTGAAAATGAAAACATACAACAGACTAGGAATTCTGCAACAATACTCTTAAACAGTGGGTAACAAAACTTCACCATTTGGACACTAAATGACATATTTGGAATAAAACAGATAGTCTTCCAGTATTAAAACAGAAGTCCAGCATGGAGGTGGAAGTTTCTTGATTTTTGGAGGCTTTGCTGCTGCAGAACCTGGCTAACTCACCATCATAGAAACAACCACAAATCGACCCCGGTATCAAAGGATGCTTATGGAAATGTAAGAAGATATGTTAAAGAATTAACACTGAAGCAGAATTACACCATGAGAATGAGCAGAAAACATGGGTGCACCAAAGACTAACTGAGAAATAAGAAAGGGAAAGCTGCGGGCTGAGATCTTGATCCCATTAAGATGCTATTAGGAGGCTTGAAACATACTGCAGACAGGAAACCATTGAATATATCAGAGCTTAAATTGTGAGTAAATTCCACAGTGTTAAATATGTAGTCTCAAAGTGCATTGACTGTTTTAGAGTTATTGCAATAACAACTGGAATTAGATATACACTATGTAGAGATTTAATTTAACACTAATTCAGAGTGGGACCAAATACACTCATAGTGGTGTTAAATTTAACTCTTAAAGTTTTATTCTAACACTGCGGAATTTAATGTGTATTTGGCAAACCTTCCTGCTGTATGATGAATTGGTTCTTGGCTACAAAAAAAAACCTTAAATTAATTTGGTTGAAGGGGGTAACACTAACTATAGGGACCTTGGAGATCCTCACTGTTTCCTGGGCTAGAAAAACAAATTTAAAGAAATGATTTATAAGAATAAAACAATATAATTATGATGTCTAACTGTAATTAAAAGTGTTTGTAGTGATAAATAGGTATAAATAAACACTGATAGGTTGACATTT